GGATGGTATTCCGATTGGAAAGACATTGAAGTTTGTTTCCAATTCAGCTTGGTTTGCATTAAATCTCCACTCCAAACTTTCTACATGCACATGTCAGACTCACGCAGAACTTTATCAAATCAACTATACTGAAACAGCGTTTTACAACCGAAAGTTGGCAAGATACATTTTGATTGCGGTCAAACATGCTTCGAAGAAGAGTTGAATTTGCTTTTAAAAGGGGGCCCTGTGACAGAGAGAGAGAGACAGAAGTTGGATCCACGTTTCGTTTCGTTTCATTTTCTGTTTGCACGTTGTTTTCAAACAAACGTTGCCAAAGACAAACAGGAGTTTTCACCATGTTTCATTTTGTGCAGAGTTTTGTTGCGCGATACTGTAAGATGCAGTGTGTGTGCGCAGCGCAGAACAATCGGAAAGGTTACTGATCCTATCACGACTGTGATGGCGGTTCGACACTTCGTTTCACGCTCTAGGTTGATTGCTCCTAAGAGTTTAGCCACAGTCTAGTAACAGTACTTTTTACTACCGGACGCGGTTTGGTTTGTAGCCATGGCCAAGTCTGGATGGACGGATGAAGATGAGAAGGCTTTGCTTGGTCTTCTTCAGAAGAAGTGGCACAGTGAGAATTCAGGGTCAGGCTATGCAGCCGGATCCAGTATTTTGACTCCTCTGGAAAGTCAAGGAGCAATGACAGATGGAAGCAAGCGACTTCGTGAGGCTCTGGATGATGATGAATTCGATGTGATTTCTTCGGCAGCTGAACCTTTGAGTGCGCAGTTGCCTGTGATGCCTATCCCAATCTTTCCTGGGATCGCCGACAAGGTCCTTGATCAGCTTACTGCTCATTTGGTGCCTGAAGGCATGAGTTTTCGAGATTGGAGCAGAACGAAGTTTGCGTTTGGAAAGTTTGCCAACGAGGGCAAAACATACCGAGAGGTATATGTCGATGATGAGATGGCCGGATATTGCAAATGGAGTATGGGTCACCTGGGAAACAAGAGTACAAGTCCAATTGCAAAGGATTGGTATTCTTTTCTCTGCGCATGCAAGGTTGTGGAGGACTCTGGAAAGGTTGGAAAGCCAAAGGGTTGCTTCACTGAAACTTCAGTGCAGAGGCAGCTGGGTGATTGAGAGTATCCTCATTGGTGCAAAGGCGAGGAAAGTCCTAGGAGCTGGTTGTTCATTGGATGGTGGACAACGGGACAATTCGTACTATATGTATTGACCTATCGAACTTTGGCGATATGTGCTGAAGTCTGGATGAGTTACAGCGTATACCTATGGAATGGAGTTCATCTCAAAGGGGGTGTGAAAATTGTGTGACATCTGTGGTGAGATGAATGAATTTGGTATTTTCTGTATTGGAAGAAGTGAATTTGTTTGTCATCGTGAGCTCACCATCTCAACCGTGATGGTTGACATCGTATTTGCACGTTTCATGTTTTGCACGTTTTATTGGAGATGACGAAACCCAACAACGATATACTTTTCGTCTTCTTTGAGTACTCTGATTGCACGGAGAACATCGTGAGGATTTGAATTTGTATAGTGACATGGAAAATCAAACCATTTTCCATACCTTTTGCATTAGTTGTCGTCGACGAAGTGCACGAAGGAATCGTGAGAAGATCGTAGAATTCATTTTGTGACTTCGGAAGAAGGAACTTTGTTTGACATTGATCGGAGAAGTTTAGTTTGTTTTGTCTCTCAATGATGATAGCGAGAGCAACGTTCTGAAAGGCATTCAGAACTGGAGTTGCTAACAGATCTGAGGGAGACATCATGAATCATGTTTTGGTGCTTGAAATGTTTCAACGTTTTTCAAACACTCAAACTTATTTAAACAAACAAACCATGTCTTGATGTAAAGACTTTTTGTGAGGACATGTGTTTTTGATCGCTTTTGTGAAGTTAGCAGAAAGATGCTGACTGGCGACTCCGCATCATTTTGTGTCAAGGCGTGACACACCAACAAGAACCATAGCGACATGAGCAAGATATGTTTCTGTGCTTGTGTGTTTGGTAAAAGTGGCTGAGCTCTGGGAGTGGTTGACTCGGTTGCGTGGACGGTCTTAGTGAGTTAAGGACGACGTCCTGGACGCTGACCCAAGTAGGTTTCGAAGGTTGCGGTACCTTCTGCACCAAAAACGGGCGCGCCAAAATCCACGCGTTGGAGCGTGTGGGAATCCTGTTTTTGGGGTTGCGACATGACGCTCGGAACGCACCCAGCTGCTTCAAAAGTTTGCCAGCGCAGGGACCACCTTGTGTCGATAGTTTTTGTGCGTGATGGCAATTGGGAGATTGGTATGTGGACAGCTGGAAATTGTTGAAAGACTGTCGAACTGGATGGATGTGATCTTTTCTGCATTGGAAGGAGTGTATTTGGTTTTCACCTTGGTGGTGAGCTCACAGCCGTGGTGGTTGTCGTCGTTTTTGCATGCCCGATATGATGGAGCTTTTTTACTGGAGATGGCGAAACCTTACAACGATATGTTTCTCATCTCCTTTGTCTACTTTGGTTGCACGGAGAATAACAGTGAGGCTTTCAATCCGTGGAATGAAATGGAAAATCGATATATTTCCTTCACTTTAGTTTCGTCGACGAAGAATTAGCTCGTGGAATTCATCTTTGTGACTTCGGAGGAAGAGGAAGAAGAATCCATTTGTCAAGTACACAGTTTGAACTTGCATGAGTTTGATATGTCTCTCAATGATGAAAGAGTGCAACGTTCTGTTGCCAACAAATCTGAGGGAGACATCATGGGTACGTTTGCAGAATTTATTTGAAAACCGAAGACACCACGTTTTTGGTGAGAACGTTGGTGTTTGAAATGTTTCCACGTTTTTCAAACACTCAAACTTATTTAAACAAACAAACCATGTCATGATGTAAAAACTTTTTGTGACGACATGTGTTTTTGATTTTTTTTGTGAAGTTGACAGAAAGATGTCAACATGCGACTCCCCATCTGTTTTGTGTCAAGGAAGTGACACGTCAACAAGGAAACACAGCAACAACAGCAGAGACATCGTTTTTTCTTGCTTGTCTGTGTGCGGTAAAAGTGGCCGAGCTCTGGGATCGATTGACTTGGTTTGCGTGGACGGTCTTTTGTTTGTTTCTTAAAGACGACGTCGTGGACGCTGACCCAGGTAGGTCTAGAGGTTTCGAAGATAAGGCTACCTTCTACAATCCCGTTAGGCCAGGCATATGAAAATGACAGTGGGACGAAACTACATCCGCGTCCACGCATGTTGTATCCCATGCTTTTGCCTGGAGGGTATGACCAAGCAACCTCACAATGTGTTGGCTGAGAGACGTATGAACGTTTGACCTCGGAAAGCGTTGTTGCTGATAGCATCAAACAACTGCGTTCACTTGGCACTGGCTTTGAAAACCTTTCTGAAGATCCTTCTGATCAGCGCCTAGAGCCCGATGGCTGCTGGGATCTCCTCCAGCTTTGATGTTAGTCCTGGTGATGGTTTTCTTTGCCTTCTTGCATTGCTGGCAGCAGGTGATGCAATTCTTTGGCTTGCTCTGCGTGTCTAAAGGCTGGAAGGGATCCTGAAAACGAATCGCCTTTTTTGGACGTTTGGGGAAATCTGCGGTGAAGGTGAAGAATGTGAAAGCGAGGATGACGATCACAAGGAGCCTCCGGGCACCCGCCATAGAAGGCACATGGATGCTGAACATATGAGCCATCTGTCTGACCCAGATGAATGGTGCCGAGTTCACTATGGCGTCGATGAAGATAGTTCAAGGTTTCAAGAGCAGTTGGATGAGATGCATGCTGCACTCCGGGTTCGTCTCCACAGCTTGGAGGCAAAATGGGATGAAACCCAGCTGGCAAATGACATGCAAATTCAGATCACTTGTATAGTGAGTTTGCATGACGCAGGCGCTTCGGATCAAAAAATGTTTTCACTCTTGCTGCTGATGGTGCAATGGATGCAACGGAAAAACCGGAAAAGGAACTTTTCCGAGCAGATGATGACATTGCAAAGTTAGCTGTGCGAAACAATTTGATACTAAATGGAGCGACAGTTGACGGTACTGTCCATGAGTCTCAGATGGATGAAGAATTTGAAAGGATTCATGCAAAGGCTCATGGCAATGAGGGGGAAGATGAGGACATGGGCGTGGAAGAGATGGCTGAAGAGAGATTTCAGCGATACCGTGGTGCTCGCCAAGGAAAAATGAGTGACCCAGATGAATGGGCAGAAGTACATTATGGGCATGAAGAATGGGACAGTCATGCTCGAATGGCGGAGTTTTCTCATGCCAACCAACTGAGACTTGAGATAGCAGTGCGATCTCTTCGATGCCGGGATGAAGAAGCTTCGGCAGAACTATGAAGGAAGTCGAAGCGTTGCGTGATATTGCGTGAATGGCGAGCTGGGCACAGTGGTGTGCAATGAATTCGTGAGACAGTGAGTTTGTGACCACAGTCTGGCCGAATCTGCTTAGGAAACGATTTTTTTGAACTCACGTGGGGCCTGAATTAAAGAGATGAATTCAAAGCACAGTGGGCGTGGTAATATGCCAGAATTTGCACGATATAGATGATTATAGATGTGTGGCGCTACGCCCCGAAGGTAATTAATTAGGTTTCTTGGTGAATCATCGGGTGTCGCAGCGTGATTGATTTTAAAGGAAATTCGAAAACAAGGCCAAGTATTTTCTTGGATCATGGACACTGATTGAATGGATATGTACAAATTTGTGTTCATTTTACGTCATGGCGCCGTTGGATTTTATACTTTTGAAACGTTTTTTTTGTAGGGCGAATTTTGTTTCAGCGAAAGTTTTCGAATCCTGAGCCAAACAGTGGGTGCATAATTTTTGGTTTAAAATCCATATTTGGTACCATGGTGTTTTTGGGCCGGAGGATTGAGATTCCAGTGGGCAACGAAACATTTTGAGCAAAACAACGTAGTTCAACATTTTCGGAGGGTGAGAACATATTTACATTTCTAAATGCAGTTTCGGTTTGAATTCATGAAAAATGAAATGTCACTGATGTCATAGTTTTGCATTGGTCTTTTTAGACGCCGTAGTATGCCTGGACGATTGTTGTTCCGGTCTCAGTTTATTTGCAGTGATTCAAAGGTTGGTGACAGGTCATTAGGTCCTGGCAATGATTCTGTTGCCGGTAGCTGTTCGGATCGGACATGCATCAATTTTTGGTTATTGCCACTTTGCTGACTTGCCAAATTTCAGGTCGTCTTTTCTGAATTTGGAGACGTGGGAAAATGGGGACAGCTTTGACAGTCACGCCTTATCCCAAGTGATGCGTTGTTGATGGACCTTGGGATCGGCAGGTGAAACGGATCCTGAAATTTGGGAAGTGAACGAATCACCACGATTGATTGTCAATCCATGTGAGGGCAAACAAAAACCATCCGCATTGAAATGGCGATGATTTGGAAGTCAAATCCGTTGGAAAATAAAAAAATGAGACCCAAACATTGGTTGGTTTCCCCAGCTTGATGGAACCCTGATAAGCTTTGGATTTTGGTCCAAATCATATCCCTTTGATTGGGGAAAATGGATTTTGTTTTCACCTTTTGTTTCAACCAAATCTTATTGGCAATGACAGTTCCAAGTATTGGCAATGACAGTTCCAAGATCTGGAACAGACTTGGACCTCCAACCATAGCATACCTCGAAAATTTTTAGGTAAAACGGTTTTCTGCAACATCGTTTTGCTTTGAAAACCGGTCCAAGGATACGGAGTTTCCCATCGTTTCCCTTGATTTTACCGTCATTTTATCGCAATTTCTGCATTGTTCCCATGATTTTCCCATTTTGCCCATGATTTTCCCTTGATTTTCCATGTCAAATCTTCTGAACCCAGAAGTTCCCTGCCCCCTGAGGTGTGGCAAAGACATCACACACCCATCTTTGAACCAGGACTTTGGGCAGACGTTTCAAAGATGATTCTGATGGCAAAACTCAATAAAGATTATGATTTTGGCTATAATGGTTATGATTATCACTATTTTTAGGGGTAGATTCTACATCTTTGCATTTATGATTGTGATGATTATTGTGAGGTTTATGAACATAGCAAATCCAGCCAAAAAAAATAACACATATATATATATATATGTTTCAATTATTTTCATCTATTTCCATCTTTTTGAACGGTTACACTATAATGACATCTAATGATACAAACTTGGGTCCAAAACTGGACCTTTTGGGTGACCTGGCCTGTTACCCATGATTAGCATAGATCATTTGTGAATGCAGGCACAACACCAAACTTTGCCCTGCTTTGTTGTTGGTTTTTGTTGGGTCTTTGGAACGTGAAATGCCCTGGCGCGGCTGATTCGAAGCAGGTTTCCTGCTTCGGCCACATAGATCCAGCCTGCACTCCCATTGGCCAGGGCCTGAGAAAGGTCTCTTCCAAAGGGTGGATTGATGAAGGTACTGAAGGTACTGGAACTTTCGATTTCAAGGCCCCTAATTCCTATTGATTCAGTAGCGAAGTAGCGAGGCATGACTTCGTGTCCTTCATGTCCTTCAAGAAGAAGAAGGGCAACGGCAACGACCACATGAACAAATGCCTGTGTCCCGTGCTGGGCCATTGCGTTCCGGGCGACTCGGTGCGTATGATTTTCCAGGGTGATTTTCCTGGGTGAACTAAGCCACCGTTTTTGAAATGTTCCCTTGGAGAAGCTGTATAGAACCTCCCCAAAAATAGAGTAAAATCCTTCTAAAACTCCTAAAATCATCAATATAGTGATAAATTTGATTAAATGGCTATTTGATTTCTGTAGGGCTTACTTTTTAGTATAGCTATAACCTCATTCTTCACCGGGGTTGAATTGATCCCATGTTGAGAATGGTGCCCCTGTGGCTGATCATTCGTCACCATGTTCCGCACCAGTGATCAGGGATCGGTGGTTCAAGTTGGTCATTGATTCTGATGACGCAGCCCCCAAAAAATTGACGCACCCATAGCATTTTGGTCACCAGTCAATGGGGTTAGGCCCACGAAAGTCTACAAGGTTATAGTGACCGCCCCCAAAACCCACAGAGGTTAGTAAATTCCGACTGAAATAGTGGTAAATTGACCTTTTCTAGAGTTATTTTGGGGGTATATAACTGTGCTATTTACCAGATGTTTTACCAGATCTTTTCAAAAAAAGTGGTGAAGTCAGCTTCAAAGAAGCCGAGGTTTTCAATGTCCCATGGGCGAGCACATCGACAGATCGTGAAACCTGGCATGTTTCATCTCCACCAGGGGGGTGCCCCAATGCACCAAACCATGGGCCGCAACGTTTGGATGATTTGCCATGAATAGTGTAGGGGAATCATTTTTTGGTGATGTTGGGTTTCCCAGTTTTTTTTAAAAAGGTGGGATGCCCCAAACTCACCATGTAACCTGACGCACATGTCTGAAATCAAGGATTTTTACCTAGAAGAGCTTTGACTTGAGCCATAGAAATGAGGGATTCCAGCATATTTTTGCCATAGAAATGGTGGATTGAAGCTATTTATTGAGCGGGTTTAAGCTAGCAATAGACCCATGGGTCCAATCGAGACCGTTGGTTTGAGAAAAGCATGTTCCTTATTGAAATGAACATGAAATGGGGGCATCCCCCATTTGAGACAAATCATATTACTGTTGATGATATATCCCATTATATCTGTCCCATAAAAAATCAAAGTATTGTTCTCAGTTGATATACCATGCATATCTATGGTTCAACACCCCCAAAATCATGGAGACTTTCCGCCAGGAAGTGCTTCAGTACCGTCACAGTTCTTGCCTCAGTGCGCATCGCGCGATGGGCACAGATCCCAGAGAATGTAATGGGGTTATAGAAGCCCCAAGATGGAAACGTCATTTACTGTACCTCTATTTCAGTAGGATTTCACTTTTTTGTTACTATGAAGAGTAACTACCCATAAAACAAGAGATTTGCTTATTGGAGTTGGTTCACAATGTAGAGGCAGTACGTACAGAATCACTTACTTTGCATAAGTAGGAGCCCATCGGTAGTCACAAATGCCAGCCATCCCCCAAACTAACAGAGATTTTGGCAGATAGGGAAATAGGGGTTTGGAAGACTATTGTCCTCTCAAAAAGAGTGATTCTCAGGGTCCATGTTGGGGTGTATATCCCAGCAACTGGCTTCAAGGGGTAGCAGTAATTGGCTTCTGCTGTTTGGCGACCTTGGGACAGCCGCCATGTTGTCCCGCAGGTGAAGTACCCACCAGACCCCGAGTATCAGAAATGCCTGAAGCAGAAGGCCCTCCTGACTTGGCTTCCAATGTGTTGCAGATCAGTTCTGGCCCTCTGCCGGCAAGGAAGAAGACCCGGAAAAAAAGTGCAAGCCGAAGATTCTCAAAGACTTGCAGGGTGCCCCAGAAAACTGCGAAAAACATGGCTAGAGCGACAGGGTGGGAACTTTGAATATGTCTCAACGGGCAAAAAAACACGTCACTTTTGAACACAGGTGGGGGGTCACCAGCTTTGAACATAGCTGGACCATCCCCCATGACTCAATGGGAGTCCAACCATCCCCATGTCATGGTGCCAGGAAGATCAAGGGCGGTGGATGGTTCGTGACAGGTGGCGAAGACCACCCCATTGTCTGGAAGGTGCTTTTCTGTGCGCTGGGAGGTTTTTCCTGAAAGATGAGGTTTTTTTTTTGGGTTGATTTTTTAGGCAACTCTGATTTACTGTACAGTTAGTGATTGAACATACATTTTAAGTATCCTTTTTGGGGCTATTTTCATCCATACCCATGTTTTTCCGCGTTTTTTTGGAATCCACTGCCTGATCCCTTTGTGAATGAAGCTCTTCCAGGTGGATGGAATAGCAAAAGCTATGGGAATCCGACGAGGCTCGGGATGGACCAAATGGAAAACAATCATCAAGGAGGTGGCCTGGTACAGGAAAAACATGGAAAAACAGGAACTGAAGCTGAAGTTGATGGGTTGATGGAGCCCGGCTCAGTCTTGTGATTTGCTTCGAAACTGGCTGCGTCAAAACTTTTGTTGGCGTTGTTCGGCAAAGCAGAATAAGAAATCAAAACACCAACAAAGAACAACCCGGTAAGGGCTTGAAAAGGACAGACAAGGTGTTTCTGTTTCCATTATAATCGCACAGCTGGGATGTAGGCATTTTTAGACACCTGCAAAAATCTGTTTCATTGGTTGACTATCACCACGACTGCTACGGTCAAATTAAACCGTGTTGAATCCTAATTTTTGATGTTAAACCACTACGAAATCTTCAAAATCAGGATTGATCGCATGAAGTGGGATGATTCATCACTGCCCAAGTGGGATTTCTGGTTTGATATTCCCCATCTGAGCAGTTTGTTCAAAACCCCTGTTGGTTGATGATTAGTTTGGGGATCATAGTATCCAATATATTGGGGATTATAATCTTGGGGATCATCTATCATATATAATATATATGGGTTATATATATTGGATACTATGATCCCCAAACTATTATGATCCCCAATATATATATGAGCTATGGTCAATACTCATGGTTAACCATTAAAAACGGGGCTAGTCATCCAATGGTTCATAGGGCTTTATAATAACCATTATAAGGATCCTTATTATGGATGGGATGACCATCAACCATATAGTGAGTATTGACCATGGCTCATATGATAACCAGTGAAATCTGCATGGAACTCGCTACCACTTTCCGACACACGGCGTCACGGTGTGCCGCCTGTGAATCACGTAAAAGGCTACGAGCTCATTGCCATCGATGGAAACCAAGCGGACTGGCGCGAGCAGGGCTACAAGGCGTTGGAAATCCTTGGAAAAAAATGGTGAAACGCTAGGATTTCATCATAAAGAATGGGAATGTAGCCATATTTATAAAAAACAATGAAGAATGAGTTGGGTTTGTCTGAAAATGGGGTGAACTCCAGGCAATTTCATGGAGAACCATGTGGCGCATAGATTTTCAGACCCTCACAAAAAAAAATGCATAAATCTGTTGCTATAAAATGTGGATAACGTGCTAACGCTTGCTATTTTGGCCAGGGAATCGACTATTGGTCATGGTTTTAGATACCCTGGAATGTGAGCCATGGGAAACCATGGGAAACCACCTGCCTGGGACGAAATTTATTACTGGGGGAGATGGTCGCAGACTTGGGTTGGGAGATCTGTGGAAAATTACCTACATTTTCATGAAAAAAAAACACATATGCAACACATTCTTATCTAGCATCAATTTCCCATTCGAAAGCTGCAAAAACACCGTGATTTTGTTTCTGTTTTTTCCCTGCAACAAATCAAGCAATCAGCCAAGCAAAAACCCATGGTTGCCTGATTTGCCCTTATATTCCAACCATATGACCATTCTATCCCCATTATATTGGGGTACCTACGGGTGTGTGTGTGTAACATCTGAATAGATGTAAAACTTCTTCTCTCTCTTTTTCTTCCTTTGTCCTCTCCCTTTCTAATTCTAAATTAAATTTAATGCAGGGGGTGCAGAGCACAGTGGAGACTGCACCCAACCAAGCTATCCACTTGTGCTGGAAGCAGAGTCTGATCAACTCTGTGTACCTGCAAAATTTGGTTTGAACTGTTGAACAAATCGTTAATTTCATTGTTTCGTATCTAATCTGCATGTTTCAGGATTCAGTTCCTGCCGGATCATATAATGATCCATTCTTGTCTAGTGTGTGTGTACCATCTGTAGAGATGTAAAACTTCTTAATTTGCAGGGACGTGTGGCACTCATGTCCTACCACACGCAACGAAGCTGTGGACATGAGTGGGAACGGAAACGTGGCCGGTTTCCTGTACCTGCAGCTTTATGTATATTTATTTATTTATTTATATATATATATAGATAGTCCCGCCCCTGGGCGCATTTAAGTCGCAGCTGGGGGGGACCTATATTGTATCCCTGTTGTTTTATATCGTCATCGTCTCCTGTGATATATATATATATATTATATGTATGTATGTATATTCATCTTGTCATTTGATTGTTGGTGTTTTTGCACGTAAGATGCATTTCACAACAAAATTCGCAATGACAGCTCTGAGCAAGTGTGTGGAAATGGTGTATATATATATAAATAACTATATATATATATGTATGTATGTATATACATACACTGTATACCGTATACCCTCAAAATCGCGGTTTTCGACGGCAAAATGATGATTCACAATAAGTGGATTTAGGGGTAGCACGTTTTTTTGTTAAACAAACCCATATCCCCATGATATCCCCATGATGTCCCCATGAAGATAAGTCATCTCTCCCATGAAAATGCTGTAGAGATGTGAGCAGTTGCTTCCAGCGATTTTCGCACGCGAAAGGCCTACGTCAAGTCCCTAAACTGGAACCGCCCACCGCCCAATGGGCCCTACGAGTGTGAACCGGGAGACAGTGGCTCGGTATGGTCCTGGCGATTGGGAAGGCAAAGTCACTTTTGTTGCAATAATTTGTACTTTTATTTGAAAATTACCTTGGTGAATGGTTGATGATAGTGGTTTTGGCTGAAGTTTTCTGGCAAACTCGATATCCAAAATTCGCGATTGTTATCAGAATTGCCACTGCCCTTCTTGGCGTTGTTACTTCTACTCTTACTCCTACTCCTATCGTCATTAATTTTTACTATTCCTGTCATTACTATTACTATTATTACTATGACACTTATACTACTATTCCTATTATTATTTGAATTCGTCCTATTATGATGATGATTACTATTCTTATCATCATCATGATGATCAGTGAAAACCTACTGTTGGCAACATCGAGGTTGCAAACCGGCAGCCTGCCCGTCGACTCCTCCACTGCCTCCACCACTGCCGCCGGCACCGCCGGGAGCGAAAGGTCCCTGGAGGATCTGGAGGATTATCTAAAGGCGAAGGTGTGTCCCTGAAGTGTAGGCTTATCCGAATCCATTGTGAGCTACTGCGATGGTCTTTGAAGTTGGGACATGATTCACAATAATTCACAAATGGCCGACCCCCTTAAAGTGGATCGTCAAGTTTCTTAATCTCTTCACCAACCTCAAAGATTGTTTTTGTTTCGTGTCCCAGTTCTCAATCGCAGGCCACCGCTTTCCAATGGCCTTCCAGGCGATCGAGGCCTGGCAATGTGAGGATTCCTCCAATCAGGGCCAGTGGGCGGAGGTTGTTCTGCTCAGGGTCTTGTGTCTTCAGGCTCCTAGGGCTCCTATGGCTCCGAATCCTGCGGATCCTACGGCTCCTGCGGCTCCAGAAACCGAGGTGCCAGAGGCGTGGCTTGGTGATGACGCAGATCACGCCGTGCATTGGTTCCATTTTTTGTTTGACAAACGAAGTTATCCCTCAGAGATGCTGTTTGCAGGGACCGCCACTTGCATGCTCTCCAAACGGTTTGTTCCTCAGTATGGGCAGGTGTGAGTGGTGCAACCCTGCACCTTGGACGTTTCGCTCTTCACCCACCAAAACTGGGTTTCCACACCTCTAGAAAAAGAGTTCCAGGCCCAAAACACCTGAAGACCAAGAAACTGTCCTGGAATCTTTGGGCTCTCCTCTGGGCAAAAATCTATCCAAATGCTCAAACTTCTGCCATGAGGTCACAGTCTGACATTCAAAGTCACGGCACCTGCCTGGATGTTTTGGGCTGGTCCCAAGACCACCTGCAGTTCGCTACTCAGTGACCACCGCCACTTGTGGGATCATTTACACTCTTCCAATGGAGGTCGGACATTAGGGGCCCACAAGTGAGCAGTGGAATTCGAAATGCGCTTTGCCATTCACCCATGCCTATCCATCAATTTCTCGTTAGTTATCCTTTCATCATCCATCGTTGTTGGTTGTACCTAATTATTCAATATTATTCATTATTATTCACCCCATTGCAGCATAACCTTCTTCCGGGCCGGGCCCTCCAACCCAACCCGCGCAGAACCTTTCCGTGAGACCTGCTGCACAGAAGCTTCAACGAGGCTGACAGGGCTGGTGGTGCCTCCGAATTCGACTATGCTGGAAGGATGCTTCGTAAGGGGATAAGTATCCAGAAATGGGCGAACGATTTCGCTCGGTGAATTCTCATAAATAAAATGCAGCAGAGGATGGATTAGCCACAACCACAGTCAGTGCGTGACGAAATTCAACTTTTTCCTGTGATCCTCATCCAGAATTTCCCCATTTTGTTGCTGAAATTAGCAGTGATTGATATCATCCTTGCATAGTTCATGTTAGTTCATGTTGTTGCTTAATCATGCGCAACATCTTCCGATTTGAATTTTTCCCGCCAGGGAGAAGCCTGAAGATATTTTCGCGGAGAGTTGCGCCAGTAAGGAGGCGGAAGTATCACCGTCAGCGGCTATCTGAGATAGGCATCGCAAATTCACTACAAATTGGGTGATATGGGGTTTTAGTATGTTTTATTGAAATAAGATGGGTGGAAAATTCATATTCCACGATTTCCATTATTTTATTTAGTCATTAAGAATTGGTTTCTAGATCTAAGTTCCATGGTCCAATGGTGGACATCCGAGAACAGGTGCTGAAGCTACTTCTACATCTGGATGTCGGATGGATGATCTTCGGATAAGAAACAGATGGATATATCTGCTTTCTCACCAGAAACAGTGGATTTCGGCAGCGATTTTTTTGGGGGTTTCACCAAGAAAAATGGGCGATTTCACTAATAAAACATCTAATCAAATTCGGGATTTATAATGATTCGTGACGTACCCCAACTTCGAGGACAGCGGTTTTTTTTTCCAGTCTTTTTCGATGAGGAGTTTCAGAAATTTCACCCGCCTTTTTGTTTCGCTTTCCGCTGCGCAGATGTGCAAACCACAAGAGAGTTGTGATCAAATGGAGGGAAGACCCGGAATCTGCAAGTACCAGGCGCGGGAGGCTCCTGCGGTTCCGGCGGGAGCTCAGTAGACGAAGTCACGTTGGACGAAGTCACGTTTCGCTTGGTCCATGGATGGTCAAGTTGAAATAAACGAAACATATTCTGATAAGTCTGAAAATAGGGTATACCCCCAATTATAGCCATTTTTCATAGGGATAATGATCATTAACCATTGGGTAAAAAGGGGTACCATTTGATGTTTTTCTTTTTCTGCCCTCGAGTCGATGCAGCTGTGAAGCAGACTAAAATGTGTCCCGTTCTCTGTTCAGAACTCGACGTCGTAACGCACAGATGGGTGCTGCGGTGCTGAGTGAGGTGGATTTCCAGAAAGCCAAGGTCAAGAACTTTAAAGTCCAGTATTACCGCTTATTTTTGGTGAAAGTATCCAATGATTCACCAGTTTTTTTTAAAATCTAGTTATCCAGCTAACTGCAGGTGGTTGAGCTGAAGGGTGACTACGATGACGTCCAGGAAAACGAGGATAAACAGGTACGAATTTCCGATCCCGGTCTCAGCAGATAGAGATGGGGTCACAAGTTACATGTCATTTACTGGCAATCTGTATAGAGATTGAAAAAGGACCCTAAGTCATATTTATTCAATCTATGGTCATAATATGTATATACACCATAGCTATGAAAAATCACACATTTTTTGTTGGAGATTGAAAACATGACCCTAACTGGGCCATCGCATGGTTGTGTAAGAAAGTTTGTATTTTATTGGGGGGGTCGCCGGTTAGTGCAATTTCTTGGGTTGGACTACCAAAAGATCATGAAAGGCTGGATTTGAGTGGCCCAAGGAATATTGGGAAGCACCTAATCCAGGAGATGCTTCGTCTTGGTTGGTTGAACCTTCCTTCTTGTTGTATTTTTCTTTGGCCAACAGCCTCCGAGAAGTGGTTGCACGAAAACATTGACGGGAAATCGGCCTGGTGCTGGATCTCTGGCCTGATGGCAAGGAAGAAGCTGCTGCGAAAGCAGAAGAGCAGGCGAGAATGGCACCACTGGGGGACATGATGGGGATAAACCAAGAATTCTGGTCAAGTGTTTGCCATGTGGCCATTGAAACCAAAGTACGGCTAGCTTTCGAGAGATGGAACGATCTCCACGATATAGGAAGGTCAGAGGTAGGATGTCAAAATTCATCAAGAACAGTGAACGAGCCGTATTCCATGCGCCTTGTTGAGCTAATGAGACCAAGAATCATACCGCAATTTGGTTAGCACCTGCACATTGTGCTAATGTCTATGCGAATTGTTGGTTTTGGCATCGTCATTTGTCCAAAAATGTCAACACACCAAAAACCCTACAATGAACGAACAATCATGGAAAAAGATTCAACAATCGGCAACCTTGAGTCGACCATGTATAGATCCGACATAGATTAAAACCCGAGAAGCCAAACACACACACAGAGAAGACATGAACACGGCAGTCTAGGAGTCAAATGATTTTCTTTCAAAGTGACTTTGAACATACCCAAGGTAATGCTAAACATATTAACGAAACCGAAGACGCCCAAGCTGGTGACCTGATATCACTTCAGCACCGTTGAGTGGGCGGAGTTTTAAAGGATCCATTTGTTTGACCAGTTGCAGCCATGTTCTTGTTTGGAATGTCCCTTTCCAGTTGGAGACTTTTTTTCTTGTCATCCACCAGGAACAACAGAAGGAACAAGAAGACGAGCAAGAAGAAGAAGGAGAACCAGAATGAATTCCAGGCAAGGGGCCTGTCGACAGTTGTGACACATTTATGGTGCTGGTTTTGTTCAGTATTGTCCTACATTTCGCTCCAATAAGATGCCCTTCCACTTGTGGTTGGGTTATAACTTAACCGGATTCAAAGCAGTATTTGAGGTCAATTTTAAGCCCACCTGGGGTACTCGTGACCCCATTCTACGACTGAGAAATGCTGCCGCCAGGCGTCGAGAAGTCAAGTGATTCGCATGAGGAATGGCTGAAAGTTTGGTTAATCTGATAAAAATGGTGATGAACATTCCCACAATCAATTTGACAACATTTTCCAAGTTCCGATATGGAAAATGGAAAATGTGGGAAATTATCTAAAAATCGGAGGAAGGTTCATTGCCGCCTAGACAATTTCTGGTGTTCAGACTCTGGCTGTGGCAGGCCGCACACGTAGCAGTGCCTCAGTGCCTTAAAAAGTGAAGCGAGGCGCCTACAATTCTATTGATCTTTAGCTGGAAATTGCTCGCAAACATGGTGGACACAGGAGACCCTCATTGAGAGCCTCTGCTACCAAAAACCGTTGATTTTGACGGTTGATGTTCGGAAGCACCAAAGTGGTTCTTGTCCTTAGCATTCAAAGCTTCAGTGGTTTTGTTGTCAGTTTCATGTGGCTTTTTCCCCAAGCCGCACGGAAATCCATTCCACCCATTGCCCAATGGGATACTGCAACAGTCTGCGCCATCTGACATTTTGGTTCAAAAGAGGAGTTTGCAACAACATCGTCGCAACAGGGCTTTTCATCGGAGTTTTCATCTCCGCTCTTTTTCTGTGCTTCCGAGAAACAGAACTTGTGGATCTTAGCCCTCACAATGGCCGTCGCCCCTAAACCAGTGGAGACCCTCTTCGTGTGCCTTAGTCAGCGGTGCAGCGGGTGTGTGTGTGTGCGCCTGCTGTGGCACTGTTGCGGTAGGTGGAAATAGTACGAGTAGTAACCAGCTATCCTGGATGACAACTGCCGATTTGTCTGAACAGAACAGGTTGGGAAAACACCAAAATTCTTTTTTTTGGGTAAAATCCGTAAAATCATTTTTGCCTTTATTTGAGGGCCATTTTCAAACACACCCAACTGCCATGTTACTGCAGTAATGCTGGTTCTGTATCCCATGATATTCCACTGCATCCTATTACATCCCTCAGATGCCCAGAGTTTTCGTTGCTCAACTCCCAATTTCTCGAAAAAACACTACTGTTTTACATTGTTTTACTATCGGTTCTTACTCTATACACAGCATCTTTTATGATTTTTGAGGCTTGCTCTCCCCATCCCCTAAGGACCACCGGCCTCAGGACTGGACTTCCCATTGATTGCACCCAGGAGCTTGCGAACAAGACGTTCAGTCAGTATGGAACAGTGCGATCCTCAGCGAAGGGCGACCGCTGCGGCGACCGCTGCCAATCCTGATTTGAGTGGAACAAAGACCAAAACAAAAGGCAGTTTTTTGGATGGACCATGATGATTCACGAGTAATTCACCCAACATCATTTGGGTATGGGTCAAAATTAGGTACCCCAATAATTGGATGGTTAATACTAAACTAGACATTCACATCTGTGGTCCCACATCGGTCTTCCATTTTGACCCACATCCATTTGACCCATTGTATCCATTTTCAGAGAAAGCCAGATTCTATGGCTTCTTAGGTCATGGGGGTCCCCAAGGTTTCATCCCTGTCAACAGGGGTTCACCACTGATCTGTGAGGTGAAGGAAACCACGGTGCTGCCGGTGGCTCCTGGAAAGTCACCTGGTGAGTTTTGGGGAGATGGGCCATGGGCAACTACCCCCTGGTAAACATAGAAAAAGCCATGGAAAATCACCATTTTGAATGGGACAATCAACTAAGAAAGTGGCCATTTTCAATAGCTTTTTGGTGCTTTTTGTATGTTTACCAGAGGGTAATGGGTATGCCATGGACATTTCAACGTCTTTGGGATGAGTGACCGCTGGTGCCCAAAGTATAAAAAGCGCCCCAAAACTTGGATGAGTGGGACATCGGAAATTGAACTATGGCTCTTGGGTATCCAAAATTTCGAGACATACCCACATATCAAATCATATCAATGGGTTGGTTAAATTATAGTGGCTATTTATCTACATGAATCTACCATAATCCACTGTCTACCTATAAATGATTTGGTGACCCATGACCTTGGAAGCCATTGATTTTTATCCAGTTGTTGTTATCATAGCAGGTCACCAGGATGTCTTGGGTCTTTCGTTGAAGATCTGTGCTGTGGAAGGTTTTCCAGTTTGATCCATAGCTTCTGCTGGAATTGTACCCTCTGGTAATGACTAACATAGCTATTGAAAATCACCATTTTTTTAATGGGAAAATCCACTATAAATGGCCATTTTCAATAGCTATGTTAAATTACCAGAGGGTACATCATACGGGCCGTATGATGTCGAGTTTCTGCGGCATCGGAAGCGATTCGATGCAACTTGACCGAGGAATGCTGCAGCCAGTTTTGTTATCATGGAGACCGTTGAGCAGGCACAGTGGATTGTGGACAATCTGAACGGATGCTTGGAGAATCAGAGTTGCGACAACCAGCAAAACTTGGGATAGAATTGATACCGTCTGGTTATTTGAAGTAGCTCTGGAAAACCACCATTTTTAATAGGAAAATCCTCATAAATGATCTACAAATAGCGGCATCGTGCCAAGAAGGGCGAGTTGTGGGTCAACACCTTTAAAACACTGTTATAGTTATTACAACCGCTTTCATGGTTGCGCTTGGAGATGCCGAAGTTGGTTTTTCATCCGAAAGATAGTGCAAAATTGACGCTTTCTAAAAGTATTTAATGGCAGTTATATTATTTTACATAGTGATGATTGACTTTTCACTCTGTTTGGAGGGGTCAGTCACTTTCAGTACCACTTTGTGATCCGTCATCTGAGGAAATATCCCCGAAGGCTTGACTTCTCCTGTCACAGTCGTGTCCGGAAGCCCTGCTTCCACCGTGATTCTGGGGCGGGCGATTTGATTTTTCGGCATGACCATTTTTTTTTGGGAAGAACTGATCACTGGATTTTTGGGGGTACCCTTGCTGTATTTTTTTTTGGGACAATGAAAGGATGCAGTCTTTTAATTGAGTGCGAAGCAATCTTGGCAGATTTGTTTCTTCGTGAAGGAAAATACCAGTGGTGTGGGCCCACCAAAGTGATCAAGCCACGTTGTACGTGCTTGATTGGGTTGATTTGAGGGATTACCATACCAAAAACAATGCGGGATCACAATCCAGATATTGGGAGATACCTGTTACCTGAGCTTTCGTTTCAAGTGTCCTTGTCCCAGCATTTCCAGACAAAATCCGTACATATTAGATCCCCATTCTATATTACATCCCCCCCAAACAAATGGGTTTGTCTGAAAATAGGGTATATTCCCAATTATAGCCATTTTAATAGGGATAATGATCATTAACCATTGGGTTTAGGGGTACACTATTTTCAGACACACCCAAATGATTCCCACTTGAAATCAGCAGGTTTGCAACTCCTCGCGCCAACAGATTCGATGGCGGCAAAGGGATGAAGGGCAAGGGCATGCCACTTGGCACCATGGGGATCCGGATCCGTCAGAAATGCTGGGTTTAGCCTGGAAAAATTGTGCTGTTAGTGGAAGAAGATCATTTCTTAATGGCACATCCTCAAAGGATTCCATTGCCACAGCGTTTTGTTGTATTAATGACCAGAAGTCGGTACTGTTTCTTTTTGTTTCTGTTTTGCTTTTTTTTTTTGAATCTGTTGAGGGGACATACAAAATAATCAATATATTCGATTCAGATATCTGCCAGGCGAATTGTGACCAATGTTTGATCCTCCAACCATCCAATTTCCTTGGGCGGTATGTTTTGTTTCTCAAGTCACTGCCAAATGGGCCAATGATTTTCAATCTGGAAACCATCTCTGCTAGTAACCCATCTCACAATGTCCCTCTAGGTTTGTTTTAAAAACGGGGGACGGGCCGCGGCCCCATGGGGTTTACGGGTACCCAATTGTGACCTACCACCAAATCATGTCCATCTCGATGTCACGAACTCGATAAAACTGGGTCCCAGTTTTCCCAGAAACCATCACACACCTATATATAAATCATATGAGTTGCTTAGTTAATATCCCCATATTATCCCACTCTATCCCCATGACCCCATGATATATATATATATATTATATATATATATGTATCCCCAATATGAAGTGCAAATGGTCTGGACAGCCTTGGGCAGCGCCTGGCTAAGGATGAAAGGCCTGATGTGGGATGTCGTTCGCTCGCCTTAGCTCACTCGTGAGTTTGTCATAACTCAATGGATTGGTTTTGTTGGGAAAATCGAAACTAGAATGATTTTCCGGTGGAATATAGGGGGTTCCTGTAAATATTCCCTTAAACCAATCAATCGAATCACATGTTTGGGCTTTTCTTGGCCTTTCGTGGGTAAAAGTACATACTTTGAAAGATTTTTCGGACCGTTTCTGATTCAGAGTGGCCCATTTGCAGGCATGATGAACTTCATGAGCATGATGATGGGAATGGGCGGCAAGGGATACGGCCCCAGCCCGTACAAGAACAACTACAAGACCGCAGCTCAGTAGCACTTCGGGGGCTATGGAGAAGTCCTGCAAGGTGAACTGACCATTTTTTTAGCTAAGTTGACTTACGTAAATTGGTGAATTCTGTGTTTGATTAGGGATATAACATGATATAAGTATAGAGTTATACATATACAGATATATATATATATGTATATATATATAATGGGTTTATAAATGTGTATAAGCCAAGTTGCAACTATGAAATTCATGTGCCTTTGCGCTAATCACCACCCCCTTGGCTCAGGTCATGTGCAAGTTCTATGAGCAGCAGGGCTGGTGCTCCCGCGGAAACAGCTGCACCTTTGCCCATGGTGTCCACGAATTGTCCAAGGGCAAGGGCAAAGGCGGGGTTGGACGTGACCATGAACGCTGGAGAGCTAAGTTAAGCAGCTAAAATTCGGCGTAAACTGGGATTCAAGTGGCCAAAAATGGAACATTTTAAGCAACAAATCTGATGGGTTTCGAAGATCTGGGAAAGAACATCACATGGGGATTTGACAACAAGGATAGTGATAATTTTGAGCAGCACGAATGGAATGGTACAGGGATTTAATCAACCAAAAATGAGGTATGTAAGCGACAACAGTAGGATAACATGGAGATGTAACCAACAAAGACACCCATGAAAAAAATGGTTGTAGTCAATCAACCTCAAAAAGTGGGTAATTTAATCAACACACATGGGTGAAGATGAGATTCAACCAACAAACAAATTGGGTTTTGACAAGAAAAAACGCTTGATTCGAGTCCAGCACGAGTGCGAACTTCTTCCAGCCTGGGGATCTGCCCATTGGAAATCTCACCTGGTTTTTTGAGCCATTTCTCAAAGGTTTCTTTCCAGAGGTCAAATTTCTGATTGGTTGGCAAAGCTGGTGCTATCACTCCGGAGGCGGCATGATTGCATGAAGCCCTAGACGATTACCGGAAGGGAGCATTATTGGTGTCCTGCCAGCAGAGGGGAAGATGGGAAGATGAGGTGATTTTTGTGGGATTTAATCAGCTTACGTGGGTATAAACCAACCATTGCGTGGGGATTCAGATGGAATGTAGTGTGACATATAACCAATGTGTCTTGGTAAACTGTCCATTGCACAGCCTATTTTCAGAGATGGAGATCGTTCCACTAGCTATGGATAGTACCCCAGCCCGCAAAACGACAGAGCACTAGGGCTTCGCACGATTTTGTGAAGTTTGTCATTCCAGCTTTGTTTTGAATTCTGCATGCTAAATTCTGTGCATAACACGGATCGCAGGTCTGGCAGAGTCAATTTCTGCTGAGTACTTCGTTTTTATTTGCAGGGGAAGTTCATCTTTCATAGTGCCACATGTCAGTTCCAAGGTGATTTGGAAAGCTATGACTCCCTAACCCCATTGGAAGATAGGGGCCACGTGAAGAGCGCTTAAAGATGTGCTCTATTTTGAATTAAGTGAAGTGCAGTCAGGGCAGATGTTTTGTGCGTTCCTGAAGAAACTTTGCCCGTGATATGAGACGGCCGGAATATAGACATCAGCGGCGAAAATTGGATTGCTCGGCACTGATCATAGTCTTTGATTAGCTTCTGAATTGCATTTGCTGTGAATGATGTGAGGTAATGTCGGGCCCTTTAAGAAAAGCTGATGTGATTTGCATAGAGTTCAGTTTGCAACGAACTAGTCGCTGGACGGGAGTGCAGCAATTCTATTCGCAGCTTTCGAAGGGCTGACTGTGGAAAATAAGATTGCCATATACAGCAGATCTTGAAACTAACTTCACTATTTAGAATATTTAGAGTTCTGCTCAATCTGTGGTGGATATGATCCAGTACAAGCAATTAGATAAGAAAGCTGTATATTTTTACTCAATTTTACCCATCAGCTAATCATGGATTGACAGCGATTGAAGATCTAAAGTCCATCAATTGCAATGATGGACTATGTCGAGGATTGTTAAAAGGACGCGCCAAACGTGAAGAGGGTGGCCCCAACTAGGTCCAGCTTCTTGTAGGGAGCTGACAGTGACCACAAATTTGTTTGTTTTTGGCTGAAGATTTTCCAATTTGAGGGTCAAAGAACTTTGCGCTATGTTCCTGGGCATGGCTTTGTCTTTATGCCGTATTATACAGTATAGTGGTATACCATGAGGTTGAGAGCCACCGGTGTCATTCCCTACCAAAGCGAACATCCGTTTGGTGCTTCGGTATTCCCCACGTGCATTGTGTCATCATTGTGTCAAGTGTTCCATTTTTCATAGAAATGGCGAGTATCAGATCAAGATGCCACTTGTTCTGTGGTAGCCATGTGGAAATGGGTCAAGTCATCGGGTAGTCTTCTGTGCATTTTTTTGATTGTTAAGATCCAACACAACCTTGATATTTGCTGTCAAAAAACATTGGGCTTTCAATTTTGATCCATACCCTCTGTTAATCAAGCCTTGACAGAAGAATCATAAATTTTGTTTGATGATTTCTCCATTTTTCAGTGCCCATTTGCTTCCAGGATTCCCAACTGTCAGCCATGTTTGATTTTCCTGGAAGGTGTATATATTATAAATGGTTAATTAATTCAATTAGTATTAGTATTATTATCACCATATATACTATTATCAGTCGATGGTCAGTTGGCCCATTTTAATTCATCATTAATCTTATTACTGTACTTATTACTATCATCTGTTGATTAATCTTACTATCATCTGTGGATGGGTTAACGTTAACCCAGTTGGTTCACCCAGGTTATACAACCCATTTCCATCATGACCGCTGCGCAGGAGCTTCGATGCCGATTACCTCTGAGGGAGCCGATCTGGAGATCGTGCGCAAAGCCTGGGACCCAGTAATGCAGACACGCCATATGTAGGTGTATGATGGTGCATGATATATATATATCATGTGTCTATATATATACAATTTGTAATATAAAGATATTATACTATGACGATATTGTAATACAACGATATTGTAATATATATATATAACTATGCATATACATAAGATTCTACATACATAGATTCATTTTCTTACACAGCTGAGGTGCAAGACATCATCGAACAGTACGAGGTTCTCCAGCGATTTGGGGTGAAACCAGCACGACGTGGGTTTAGCCAAGCAAAATAGGCCTCAACCTATCGAACGTGAGTGCTTGAGTAGCAAGGACGACTGTCAACAGATTCATTCATATAAGACAAACATATATGTATATATATATATATATACAGGCGAAAGCAATAGATTTGCACACATCTTTACCATTCAAAACACTGTTTGGGATTCTTGACTATCTCCCTCCTTGAACTGGTCATGGGATCGCAGGCCGCAGCGGCTCGATTGCGGCAGCTCAGCAACAAGCCACAGGTTGGAACAGCATCGACACATGGAGGATTTCACCGTGAACAGCAGGGATTTTGGTCAAAAAGAATGGGGATATAAGTCCCATAACTATGGTTTATGGCAGATATAACTATAGTTAATGGGGTTTATAAACCCACTTATAACTGGGGGGCACCATCCTGTGGGGATATAACCATATTTGACTAATGCTATAACAACAAATGACGGGGCCACAACTCAACTGGTCACATTTCTTGCTGTTTTGATAGGGATCAAATAATAGGATAAACGTCTAAAGAATCATACGATAGTTGGGTGTGTCTGAAATTTTAGTGCTATGTTTGAACAGGGCACATTATCATTGAGCATGGGCCATTTGGAGAGTTCCAGAAAACCCTGTTGGTTGTTGATGACATGGGGTGATACTGATACTACCCTTTATACATTGTGAATATATATATATATAATGTATACACGTCTGGGAGAATTGTAGCCATGTCACTGGCAAGCGTCACTCGAATTGAAGGGTAGGATAAGGTGAATGTGGGATGCTCAGATCCCCCATGATATCAGTCACTTCTGGTCACAGAAGCGTGTTGACAACGTTCTTGTCAATGGGATGACTAGAGTTGCGATAAAGTATTAGGGTTTGTGTATGCCTGCAAGGTGGTGCCCCATAGTTAGCTAAGTTGGTTTATAAGTCCCATAACTATGGTTTATGGCAGATATAACTATAGTTAATGGGGTTTATAAACCCACTTATAACTGGGGGGCACCATCCTGTGTGTGCACTTCTGATTTTTGGAATGCTAAGTGGGGATTGTTGGTAACAAATATTGTGACATGTAAATCTAGTAATGTAAGCTGCACCATCGATGGACCGGATCCTTTGGAAGGAAGCTAAATGCCACTGTTTTTGTTGAAGAAATCAAGGTGCTCCTCAGATCCAAGCCGTGGATTTTTCGATTGCCTCGAAAAAGGTACAGTGGGAACATGGCTTTGCGCCATGTGGATAGGTGCTTTTCGTTGCCATACCGAGAACCTGGTAGGAGACCTATCGGTTTCCGAGAAGTATAGCAGGCCATGCTCGTAATCGCAGGATACTCCCTCTAGAGCCATGCCCAGAGCAATTCTTGGGTAGTTTCCAAGGGCATAGCCATCCTTGGATCAAACTTGCGAAGCAATCTCATTGTGGTCTATTCAGAACTCCGAACTCATCTATCATTTGCTCCCGATAAAATAACGATCTCTCACTAAGCTCAGATTATGCCCGGAGGGATTCATCCCGTGACTCCTTTGAGCCATTGAAATGGTTGATAAATTCTTCAGCCATTGACCCAGATTGCGTCATCTCATCACCCACCAGGTGGATGGCATCACTGGCTACCACGAATTCCCCAGCCTCGCGGAGGACTACGAGAGTCGTGCGCAGAAGTATCGGGAGGCCCTAGGGATTTGGTTTCCCGTGAAGATCAGCGATGGCACCCAACCCCAACCAGCCAAGATTTGTTGTTGTTGGGATGTGCATCTGGTAAAAATGACCTAATCATAGACTGTTTTTGCAAACTTTGAAGAGTCCATATTTTGTTTCATTCATATTACTAATTTATCATCTTCAGAGAACTCTGAAAGAATATACATACCTACACATTTTGGGTCATAGACATTATATACAATTATGACAGTATATCCAAATTATCAGATGACCATGACGTATAACCCAATGATGTTATAAAATTATGGATCATGTATTATGGATATCTATATGGTGAAAACACCACACGTATTAATACATAAAATTTATGTATAAATATGGGCATTGGTCACCATCACGATTGCCCATTGGTATTTCCCATTGGTATACACCATTACCCCCACATATATATATATATACACCATGTTAACCCATTGGGAAAGACGTCATGGTAAATCCATCATTGGGATTATAATATATATATGTATAAATTAGTATTATCCATATTATCATTGGATATCAGGATATCCATATTATATTGTATATAAGCCAAGAATGGGATCATTATCCATTGGTTATCCCAATATCATTGGATCATCACCCATTATATATATATACATTACACACCATAAATATATATATATAGGGATATCCAATTCTGGTTGGTGGCTTGGAACATTTGGATCATTTTTCCATTCAGTTGGGAAGAATTCTCCCAACTGACAAACTCATATTTTTCAGAGGGGTAGGTATACCACCAACCAGATGATCATGATTTGGTGCGAGAAACTTTGAATAACCATATATTAACCATATATATATATATATTAACCATATATATATATATATTAACCATATATATTAACCATATATATTAACCATATATATTAACCATATATATATTAACCATATATATTAACCACAATGGTAGGTAGGTTGAAACCACCAACCAGTGAGTCTTGGTATCCATAACCATGATCCATTGGGAAAAAAGGGTACCATGGTCATCCCTGCACGCCAGGTCGCCAAGCTCTTGCGGGAGCCGCTGAAAGCACCTCTGTCTCCGATGCAGGAGGTGCAACGGGTCCATTGCGGTGCATTGCGGTGCAACGTGGAGCCAAAGGGTAAGGTCCCCGAGCCAAAGAATAGAAAAAAAACATAGGAAAATACGGGAACATATAGGAAATACCATGGACATTTTTGAGGTAATTGGAGGTTGAGCTGGGAAAATCATCGAAATAAATAGTGGAACATGGCCCCTTTACACATGATTTTTGATGGATTTAGCAATTAAAAAGGATGTTTTTTTTTTTTTTTCCATAGCAAAGATCTTGCCATGGAGTCGATATCGGCTGGCGGGTCACGGGGGACATGACCTTGGAAAAGTGCTGAAATTTGAGGAGACGGCAATGGGCTCAAATTGAAAACTATCCGCAAAAATTGGGAGTTTCGAAAACGAAACTTCTGTTTCGTTAACTGGATTGGGATACAGTATGTTATATTGGGATAGTTATATAAGTGGATTGGGATACTGTATATAGGGATATTCCCACGTTCCTATATAGCTACCTAGCTAATCCTGGCAGCAGCTAAGCAGGTATGATTGATGACAAACTGATGTAAAAAAGGGTGATGAATTGGTGAGACTTGATGATCACAATTGGAAATTCATGGTTGACTACGTTGATGGTATTTGGTGATGAATGGGAATAGTTTGATATTACCCTCCCGTAATCAACTGTTACAATGGCAAATCCCCTAGAAATGGAGGTTTTAGTAGGAAAATCATCAATAAACTGAGATTTTCCGTTGCCACGTTTGATTAATTAAGGGTGCCCCATTTTCTTGGTCAATGAATTGTGTTTTTTTTTTAAGGGGGTTTCCCCATCGAAAAACTGATAGGATTTGCTACTAAGTTATATGGTAGCCTCCCAAGTAAACAGCCCGGAGCCTTTCACTTTTCATTTGGGGTTGACATGCCCAAAAGATCCCAAAAGTGACACATCAAAATCAATGGATTTGGGGAAAATGATGCTTAAATCTGTTGGACTTGGGTGCCCCATTTTCAGATGACAGTATGAATATGAGGGGTATGGTGGAGGTGGGATCCATGACGACCATATTTCTTCGTTTGCCAAACATTAAATCCCACCATTTTTGATGCTTCAATTTACCATTTTTCATGGTTTTCACCTCCATATTCTGTTATAAACACCAAAAAAGATCGAACAAAGATACAAGAAACCTACATCCAATTCTAAAAATCCAGTTCTAACAAATGAATGGTCAATTAACCATCATTTTGTTGGTTGTTTGCGGGTTCCTGGCTTCTCAGGATGCCCTGCTCCGGCTCTGCCTGCAACGCAGTTCCGAGCCGTCGGGGAGTCCTTGGATTTGAGGTATCAGGGGTTGAAGCAACAACGGGGCCAACAAGAGCGAGCCTTGTAGGTATCCATGATGGGGATTTAGCATGATTTAGCGAAGAACGGGGAAATTGACCAGCGGCTTGTGAAACCACTCAAACTCGACTAGCGAATCAATGCTTGTGATACCTGAAAAGTAAATCTGATGAGTTCCTCCAGTGAACAGGCAAAAGGTGGTAGTTATTCACGGATTTAGCAGTTCCTGGGAGGAAAGGATCATCCCACGAATCGTGATTGGTGAACAAGTTTGGTGATGGTAAGTCCGGTTTCTTCGTGGGTTATCGCATATATATATGTATATGTATATATATATATGTATATGTATATATATATATATGTATATGTATATATATATATGTATATGTATATATATATATGTATATGTATATATATATATATGTATATCTCCATCACATACATATATATATATACCTATATATATAGACGTATATATATATACATATCATACTCATGACTATACTTAGCTGGGATGATCCCTCATATATATCCCATATAGATATCCCATATATATATTTATCCCATATACATACATAAAGACATAGATAAATAGATAAACAAATAAACATAAATAAACATCAATAAAGATAAATATAAAGAAATAGAAATAAATATAAATAAATATAAATAAACATGAATAAAAAAAATGACTACATACGTAAAAAATAAGCAAAAATAAGTAAACATAAATAAACATAAATAAAAATACTTAAAAACAAATAAAGACAAATAAACATAAATAAACATAAATAAACATACATAAACATGAATAAAAATGAACAAAAATGAATAAACACAGATAACAGTAAATAAACAATACAAATATACATATATATATATGTTTTAAATAGATAAATAGATAAATAAATAAGTAAATATATATATACATATACATATATATGTAATTATATATATTACGAGCCGTTGGATGATCGAGTGACGATCCACGTTTTCCAAGGGTGGCGGCGGTAACCTCGAGGGCAGCCGAGGGCCTACAGGCTCGTGAAATATCCAGCGGCTGTTCTTCCAGTGCCCTGAATTTTTCTGGTTCCAGACCCATTTTCAGCCCAAGTCATGCTTTATGGTGGCTGAAAATGGTTTTTATTGTGGCTGAATTTTTATGGTGGCTGAAAATGGTTTTTATGGTGGCTGAGAATTTTTAAGTCATGTAAAATATTTTGAGTTGTCCGTTTCAGGTGGCAAAGGAGGTCGCCCATGCCTCAGATGTGGAGAAACTCATGAAATGTGTGCGATTCGGGGTTGATGATTTTGACCCATAGTTAATCCCTGGCATTTGGCCATGATTTCCATAGCGCAGCTCCAAGTTTTGTCTTTGTCAACGGGCACTAGTGAAGGCTTCGAATAATTTTCCATCAGTTGGACCAGCCACCTTCATGCCAGTAGACGATCAACAAATACCCTCTGGTAAACGTTTACATAACTATGGAAAGATCCACCATGTTTAATGGGACAACTCACTATTTCAATGGCCATTTTCAATAGCTATGGCCATTTTCAATAGCTTTTTGTAGGTTTACCAGAGGGTATATGATAGGCATCCGCGTGCCGGCACGCAGCTGAGGGCTGTCTCTGAGCTCCCAGGGGTTTCACCAGAGTTGTGCTGAAAAGGTGGAATCTCCCGGGGGGGACTTCGTTTCGGCGGGTTGCCAGGTTGGGGTAAGTAGACCTGAATCATTGAGAAAGTGAACATGTTGAAAACCACATGAGTTTTTTTTTTTAATTTTCCGTAGTCATGAAAACCAATCACAGAACCAGCAGTACACTGTGCCATTCGGAGTTTAAGGTTTGTTGGGGTATGAACCCAAAACAAACAAAGGTATCAAACAGACATCTTGAAACAATCGGATTTAACAATCAAAATTTGGATTTTGACGAGCAGCCCAAACTAATTGTTCTTACGGGAAACATGGGCACAAAAACCATTCTGTTCACATCCCATGTTCCAGATTGGTAAAAAGGGGTGCCGTTTTGGATTGTCAGGACCTAGTGTTTGGATGTGTTTGGTGCATTGACCTAAAGAAATCACAGTTCAGATTTAAAACGGCCACAGGACAACCCTCTTGAAGTCTTTGACAAATTAGATTGTTGGTTCGTGCGGACAGCTGCTCAAACATGGATGGGCTTCAAACATGGCATGGGACAAGACTGGAACTTTCACACAGACAGACACACACCGGTGATCTCACATGCAAGATGCGCAGACATCACAGACCTGACGGATCAACCAAACACTCCAGGATGGTGTTGCAAAAATCATTCAGTTGACCAAATTCAGGGAACCAACCGACCCAAATTCAGGCCATTTGCAGTGAACGGCATCGAAATCCTGAGGGACACTAAGGGTTGGACAACTTTTCGCCATGTTCGGCAACGTTCCCAGATGGTGGTCCGCCCCAAATCCAACTGTAAGTTCTTGAAATGACAGCAGCATCAACGACCCAAAACAGGGGACTTAGGATCATTTTTTCAAGGCCTTGCAAGGCTCCAAAGGCCGGCCAAGGGATGGCTCCCGAGGGCAAGAACCATAACTACTATGAATCTTGGCCAAAACTATGCGACCATTCCTTGTGATTCAAACTTCGTTTTGCACTTGCTACACATGGGGTGATCACTCCATTCACCTGGGTTGCTTTTTTTGGTGGCTGCAGGTACCGCAGCCAAGGGTTGGTTGCGGGAAACGCACGCATGGCTAGTGCTATCAGCTCCGGCTCCGCAATATCGATTCAAATGTCTTTGTTGCTTACCTTCCAAGGTTTTGTTTGTTACACTCAAAAATACATTCCCGTCTTTATGTTGCATACCATAGATCATACAACCATGTGCCATACATCATATACATCATATATCACATGTCGCTTCATATGATAGGACATTATGTTTTTCATGTCATTGTATAGGTTTGTGTGTATCCATGTATAGTTATGTGCGTACAATTCATTTGACAGTTCTCTTGCTATGGTTGCAAAACTTTGCATCACCCAGTTAATTCTGTCCTCCGAACCATGAACACCGCACAGAATTTGTGGTGTTTTGTATGGAATCACTAAGCCAGTACGGAACAGTAAAAGGGCACCAGCGGTCCAACCATGTTGGTAACGTCTGGTATTGAAGCTTGGAACCATCCAGTTTTGGGAACTTATAATGGGTCTGAGCCGCAGTCATGTTGGAGAGAGCGCGAGCTGGGAATTGTATCCCCTGACAATGGGAATCTAATTTGTGCTGCCTCAATTTCTGACGGTTTGTGGCCACGCACGACTTTTCTTGGTCAACCTTCTTTGAGTTTTGGTCAAAAATCACAACCTTTTCATCTTTTTTCCATGGTTTTCGGTGAAAATCCCATTTCCCCCATGCTTTCCCTGGTTTTCCCATGGTTTTTTTATGGTTTTCCCATGGTTTTCCCATGGTTTTCCCTGCTTTGAATCCCGAAGATCCCCATTTTTCTCGTCGCCGAGGACGTGCTCGGCCTGCCCCGGAACGCCTCCGAGGAGGAGATCCGCAAGATGCCAGGGGGCCCTGGATCTAGATGTAGATTGTGTCAGTAGACGCAGATTCTGTATGTAGATGATTGTAGATGTATATGTATTTGATATACAAAAAAAGATAATACATACGATATATATATATATACACATACATACGATATATATATATATATATGTCTGTATATACACAAGTGTTCCTTTGAGCAACATTTCATGATATGTGGTGTGCCCACAAAGGATGTGTCGAGGCACTGGTGAGACATTCTGGACCCACTTAAAATGTTGGTCATTTTGAGGGTTTGGAATGGTCCACAACTTGGGGGGTTTATACTTGTGACACATACCCATATGGAGGTTTCCTAACATGGGGGTACCCCCAATCATCCAAATTAGACCATTTTAGTATTGAAACAACCCTGGTGACTCGGGGATTCGGTGATTTCAGTAGCAAAGAACTAGATTTCACCGCAAGAATCACTTTCAAATTTGGCAGACCTTGTAGGGTAGGTGAACATGGCTTGATTTTGGTCAATTTCGATTCGGGTAAGATACTACCCAACAACAGAAAAACGGGTATCTTGGCTTAACAACCAAATCAGGATAATATGCAAAAACAATCGAAAACATGGATGTTAATCCATTCCTCCATAGAATATTCAATCCCTCCCAAATAAGGTCCCCAAAATGTGTAGATCCAACACAGAACCAAGGTTTTTTGGGGCATCTGGAAAATCAAAGATGTTTTGCTGGAAAATCACCCATTAAATGCTTATTTCAAGGGAACTTTCCAACCAGCAATGTTTCATGTCAGCAGGTATTTGTTGTCATAGCATCCACCATGGGTTTTCAATGTTGATAGATGGGATGATACTTGGATGTGCATCCCAGCTACCAAGTAAGTTTTTAAAGCATTGAACAATCCAGTGGTTAGGAAGAAACTCGGGAGCTAGTGGCTACCAAATGGCTGCTAGGATTTTCCCAACCACATGATAGATAAGTTCACCCTGTATTCAGATAAGTTCACCGTATATGCAGATACATATGGCATTTATGCCAGTTTCATTTCCACGGGTGCCCTCTGGTAATTTAACAGTTTGCTATTGAAAATGGCCCATAGAAATAGTTGATTTACCTATTAAAGATGGTGATTTTCCATAGCACACTCTTAGTTTACCAGAGGGTATTCACCCCTACGACTGCCCCACCCCCACGAACTCCCTCACGAACTTCGCGGGCTTCAGCGCTGAGGTATCTGGAGATCGTGCGCACGCTGCATCCGGACAAGAGCCGAAAAAGCGGCAGTGGCATGGAACGCTTCCACGAGGCGGAGCGGATTGGGAAAAAACTTGGGGGAGATGTCAGATGTGCATAATACGTGTCATGTATATATATATATATTGTTTATATATATATGGATACATATATATATATGGTATAGATACTATAGAATATTATAGCCATTATAGATGTAAGATCAATGATTGAGACCTGGCATAATTTGAACTGATAGAGTTGTGGGATGAAAACACAGGTCGCGAGATGTGAAAAAGAAAATCTTCAGGTAAACCAGCGAAGGCAACTCTATGCGCCCACGTCTTTTCCGTGGGATTTTTGGGGGTTTTCACTGTTTTCACCCACTGGGGCGACCTTTTACCCGTCACATCCTTGGGGTTTTCACTGACCTTTCAGGTGCAAGCAGCCTGGCGGTGCCTGTCGGATCCCACACGGAGGTTGGGAGACATTGTTACCCACAGGTATGGGTCAAAATCGCCATAGAGGCCAGACATTTCGTCATTTTCAGTACTTCCAGGGCGAGTCCAATCATTTTGATCCATACCCGACACTTCTCCTGGTCCCCAAAGAAGTAGAAAAGAAACCAAACCAGGAGGTCATAGATGATCTTTACTGCATTTTTTGAATCAGCTTCAACCCGTCACATCGATTTTTAACCCCTTCCCCTCTCAATACTACCCTCCAAACAAAACACTCACTTGACACTATATGATGTATATATATATACACATACATACACATATCTATAGATACATGACATATAAGTATATATATATATACTGTATATATATATATAGATATGTAGTATATATATAGGTATATATATAGAGGATCTAATGATTCATCTTAGAGGTATTTTTAGTTTCAGAAATTCAATGCCTCAACGCGGATAGGATTCCATTCTTCGGCCTTGACGCAGGCTGATGTACGACCTCCGCACCTTTGGCGATTCCTCCGCGGCGGGAAAACACGCCGCGGGGACGGCAGAGATGGGAGAAATGCTGTTGTCGCGACAGAAGGACGATGCGGAAGATGGCAGCTGTGGGAAGCTTGTTGACTTTTGACATAAAAAAAAAAATGGGAGTGTTTTCGGATGAAAACAGAAAACATGGGGAGTTCAAGACCAAACATGGGGAGTTCATAAGCCAAATTGGCATTTCACCATATTTCACCAACAAAAATTGGGGACTTCCTGTGGGAAGCGGGGCAGACTTGACCCGCCCAGCTTGCAGCATGGGGAGCCAAGCTCGAAGTTTTAACAGAGTGACCACTATGAAAAGCTTAAACGGTTGAAGGAAACCCAAGTATGATATAGTATACCCTCTGGTAATTTAACATAGCTATGGAAAATCACCATTTTTAATGGGACAATCCACTATAAATGGCCATTTTCAATAGCTTTTTGTATGTTTACCAGAGAGTAACCATGTACAACCCCCTATGAGTTATCAATAGGTATCAACCAACTGAGGTCCCAGCGAAGATTTTCGTCTTAGATCCACGTCACATGCAGCACCATGACCACTGGCAGGACCAGGCAGCACTGGACCTGAGGAACATGGAGGTGGAAAGCCTCGGTTTTTTCGAGGTTAGCCTTGTAAGAATGGACACTACCCTCTGGTTATGACTAACATAGCCATGGTTTTTCGATGGCCCTAATCGAAATAGATGGTTTACCGTTCTTAATAGCATGGTGGATCTTTCCATGGCTATGTTAGTCATAACCAGATGGTAATATGAGGAGTTCCATTGTTCACCGCAAAAATACATAAGAATTCCACTAGATGAAAATTACATCTATAGAAAAAAATACATTCCACTAGGTGAAAGATGTGTTTTTGTAAGATTCCGATTTTTTCAAATCTTTCACCTCGTTGGAGAGTCGCCAGATGGGATGATACCACTGTGCCTTGACCCTTGATCTTGGATTAGGTACCTCCAAGATGGTGTTCTGGATTGTTCTGGCACTCTTCTTGTGATTCCTACACATATATACATATACATATATATATAGAGATATACTGTAGATAGTCACATATAAATGTAGACAACATGTAAATCTGTATATAGATGTACACAATGTACACATGTGATTTCCCTCTTTGTTTCACAGGTGGAATTGCAGCGCATTGTGCAGAAGGAACAGAAACGCCGTGGCGTCCTCGTGAGGAAGGCGGAATTCCGTTTTTGGGAGACGTTGGGTCTATGGGAACCCCAGAAAGGATAGGAAAATGGTTTTACCCATGAAAAATGGAAGTTAAAACCATGAACAGTTGGGGATACTACGACATATGTGGATTTAACCACAGAAAATTGGAGTTTCAGCTGGTTCAAACACATATCTAAAGTGGTGAGAGATTACCTTTCCATTTGGGGGGTTACGATATTGACCTGGATATTGGGGTATGCCCCAGTCATCGAATGGGGCAAATGATGATAATTTGTTGGCATTGGGGGTTTTCCATTTTCAGAAAACGCCATTTCAATAGCAGTTTATTCCTTTTTCATGGTGTCTGTTGGTTTGTGATGGAAGGGATTTCCGAACACAGCCTTGCTCTATCGAAACAGGAACCAAGCGCCTTGAAAGACTTGAAAGACCTGAAATCCAACTCTTTCGGGCACACGAATCTGATGGAGGGGTCAGATCTGGCTTCACCTACCATGTGGGTGATACCTAAGACTTAAAAATTGAGTGGACTCCAATTTTTGGAAGAATATCCCGTGTTCACATGGACAGTTGTGGCTTCTGGGTTTCCATCACTGGACTTCCATCTTGGATTTTAAGCATGCGCGTTGTGGGTGAAAACTCCCAACGTCATGGGCATTTGAGTTCCAGGTGTCTCCGTGGAAACACACCGCCGCAGCTGTTTTTTGTTGCTTCCGCGCCACGGCGTAACGCGTAACGCGTAACGCCCTTGTTGGCGCCATGTACGACGTTGCCGTGGTGGGTGCTGGGCTTATTGGCGCTGCCGCAGCGAAATATTTGGCCAAAAAGGGGCTCAAAGTCGAAGCTGGGCTTTCTAAATCACAGTGGTTCATTGGGAAAAAGGAGAACACCGGCTTTCGGAATTCCCGTGTCGGCAAGCTACCAATTCTGAACAAGTTGGCTTCCCTTTAACAGTTTCGCAGTTTGAGAGTTTGACACTAAAGCAAACGGCCAGTTGGGAAAGCCCAGACCATAAACCATCCCGAAGTTTTTTTTTTAATTGGGCAATAAAAAGGGCTCCTTTTTCCAGGGATTGTTTATATGATATATATATAACACTCAACTTTATCATTGCAGCAACAGTTGGGCACAACAAAAACAGGACATCCCAAGGTACGCAGAACAAAAACAGGAACACACCACAAGCGTGGAGACTTGGAAAGCCTTGGAGACCTAGGCCCTGATTGGTCCCACTGAAGCCCAGGGTGCTCTGGGTGCTTGCTATGATGAAGGACGCCCCTTGGTGGATGCGCCGCGTTTCCTGGGACGATTTAGCCATTTCAGCCACAAAATCAATGGGGTTTCAAGCAGCAAACATAGATAACACTGTGATGTCCATGACAAGTAGCTACTGTACCTCCACCAAGTAGACCCTGCGTGGACAGGGTTTGAACCGGAGGAAAGCACCATGAGATTCCAGTGAGTTTCAATGGCCTACTTGGAGGATGATGCAACTCATTCGGAATCTCCATCACAAAGTCATCCTCAAACAGAGTTCACATCCGGCATGGATTTTCAATAGAATGCCAATAAATCTCAGGATAATAGGTTTGTGAATCAGCAAAGTTGGACAAAACAAACCCAACGCTGGATTTCACCAAAACAATTCGGAGAAAAAGAGGGTATGAGAGTTTTCTCGACATGTAGACATAGTGACACAGAGCGTCACTATAGTTGCGATAGATATGTGCTGAATATTTGAATCCACAAACCCACAGGGTATAGTCATGGTCATGGTCATAGACATAGTCATGTTCACGGTCATGGTCGTAATTTGTTGAAATACCCTCTGGTAAACTAACATAGCTATGGAAAACCACCATTTTTAGTAGGTAAATCAACTATAAATGGCCATTTTCAATAGCTATGTTTGTTTACCAGAGGGTAACCATCCCATTTCTTCTGTATCGATCCACTTGATCCATGACCTTCTCATGAACCATGGGACCCAAGAGGCTTTCCTGCAGATGTTCTATTCATCCACTTCCGGGGGTTGGGTCCATAGCCATCAAATTTGAGGTGGTTTGATCATCGATGAATCAAGCAATTCGAAGAGGAACATCCTGCAGAACTACTGTAGTCGCTTCATCCAGTTCTTTCAGAATCTTGGGACCTCACAAAATTCCCCATATCCCAGCGGTCCCATGGGGGCTGATAATCCCATGGCTATCTCCATCCAGCTGCTAGGCATTTACCGCATCGCCGATCCCGACAAAGTTTGGGCCGACCTAGCGGACTTGTCGATCAAGGAGTACCAGGCTGGTTTCGATGCGGAAGCCCAACGTTCTCATCCCAGTTCGGGGTCTTTTTGTAGGGTAGAATGTGGTAAATCTGCCAGAAACCATCAATGGGTGGTAAACATCCCGAGATGTTGGGTTTTTATTGGGTCTACCCCAAAAACGCCCAAATTTCGAGAAACAGCCAGAGGGTGGATATCTTGGAAAAGCCATCAATTTGATGGCCCTAAATCAGGTTTGGCACCCAGTCAGTAGACTATGGAGACATATGGGGATGATTTCGTGCAAAGATGGTGACATTTTGAATCGCCTTGGGGTAATCTATCCACGTTGCGGCCCGAGGCTTTTGGGAAAAAATGGCTCTGTTGGGGTGGAAGCCCCAACCAGCAAACTGGAACCCCCAAATTCCCAAATAAAGCAAATTCATTACGAAACAAGGGTGTCTGGGGGGTTGTCTGTAGATGAAGGACAGGGAAAATATATATATAATATACACACACACATACGTAACTCATATGTATTATATATGTGTAAATATGTGTGAATATGAATTGAAATCAATAAAGAGAAGTATATGCACATACTCACATACAGCATTTTCGGACAGGAGCCCTAAGCCAAGTTAATGCCACAACCTCGGCCCAGGCCATCGAACGAGAAGCTGGAGAGAGGTTTCACCATGAGACGGGCTTCCTAGCAGTTGGAGATCCCAGTATGGACTACATCCATCAAGTGGAACAAACCATGGCATCTTTTGGCACTGAAGGACTGGTGTCAGCCGGATGGTGGATTTAATGGGGGATTTAATCCCCAATTTATGGCAGAGAGAAAGTAATGATGGAGCATCCAATGTCAGTTTTATTCTCCCTATTTTCAGACCACAAATTATCACTAAGAGGGGTTGAAGTGGACTACCCCTAGGCCCATGGTCCCCTGGGTGTGTTGAGGGACCATGAAAATGTGAGGTCAAAATCTTCAAGAATCAGGGCTGGGATGGTGAACTGTACAGAAAGTGCTGCAGCACTGGTGAGTATATGGAACAAACCCACTGATGTCTTGAAATTTAAATGCTGCAATCAAGGCGTTTGCTTCTGCTGGCACATGGGTCAACACATGCCCTTTTAACATGTGTGTGCTTCCAAAAATTGGGCTACCCCTCATCACCATTGCTTTCCCCATCAAATATGACCAATTTTTGCTGATTTTGGGGTCCCATTTTGGGGAAAATCCATCTGGTGATGGGAACTTGGAACAGGACAGGACTTCTTTATCTACACCAAAAAGGAGGACTTCGAACAGCACTTCCCCTTCTTAAGGCCAGTCACGGGCTTTGTGGTTGATGGGGTTTACTGGTTGACCTCAGCTGATCTGAAGCGCCAGGCTGTCCTTTGACGAACACAGCTGGAGGGGTCTCTGGCAGCCACGGAAAGCTGGGCATTTGAGTCCTCGCACTTTGGCCCTGATCCAAGCAGCTCTGGCTGGGAGGCGAGCGCTTGAAACCGAAATTTGACATTTTTCATAGGACAATGGTGAACCAATTGATGGAATGGGGTACCCGATTGACCATCCCATTGGGGGGTAGGGGATTTCTTGTTGCCACCAGCCTGGATAGTTCGCCTACACTGGCTTCAACAACGTAACAACGTGCTGTGGCGAACATGGACCCCAGTTCGCCGTTTCATGGTATGGTAGATATATGGTACAGTAGATATATGTAGATATACTGTAGTTAATGGGGGTTATAAATCTATTACAGCAATATTGGGTATTTGGCAATTATTTGCCTGTTTATGTTTCCCTGTGTCTTGGCCACGACCCCATTTGGATGCTTCCAACGTGTTCCATTCGTGTGTATCTCTACACGTTAGGGCTACGCTCCCAAGTGGGATAGAAATGAACCAACAAAAATGGGTGATTTTTGGGACAGTAAACAATCCATGTCTTGCGGGAAAACCTACGTTGATTCAGACCCTTATGTTATTTTGGTGTTTTTTTTGGGACAGTACCGATAGCTATGGAACAAACATCACCATTCTTAATTGGTAAATCGTCGAACTAAATCGCCATTTTCCATAGCAAACTGCTAGTTGACCAGAGGGTACTGTACTTGATACTGAGATGCACCATTATCCGTTGATTATGGAATCATATGACTAATCCCTTCCCCCGTTCATATTAAACACCCCCTAAACGAAACCATGGTGGATGTAGTGGAATTTCCACATAATTCATGGAACAAACATCACCATTCTTAATTGGTAAATCGTCGAACTAAATCGCCATTTTCCATAGCAAACTGCTAGTTGACCAGAGGGTACTGTACTTGATACTGAGATGCACCATTATCCGTTGATTATGGAATCATATGACTAATCCCTTCCCCCGTTCATATTAAACACCCCCTAAACGAAACCATGGTGGATGTAGTGGAATTTCCACATAATTCATGGAACAAACATCACCATTCTTAATTGGTAAATCGTCGAACTAAATCGCCATTTTCCATAGCAAACTGCTAGTTGACCAGAGGGTACTGTACTTGATACTGAGATGCACCATTATCCGTTGATTATGGAATCATATGACTAATCCCTTCCCCCGTTCATATTAAACACCCCCTAAACGAAACCATGGTGGATGTAGTGGAATTTCCACATAATTAGGGTGATGGGATCATTCTAGAAATGGGGGTAGCCCAATAGCTGGATGGTTTATAATGGAAAATCTTGTCAAAATGGATGATTTGGGGGTATCTCTATTTCAGGAAACTTCCATATTACTATACTAATAGTTGAGGGTAACCGGGTAACCCGTCATTTTTTCTTGGGGTGGGGTAGTTTCACCCGCAGGAATGGTGCTGATGTGATCGACACCCAGCTAGATGGAGTGCACGCAGAGGCGCCATGAAAAAGGGGGGGATCTTGCGCAGTGTTCAAAACCTCTGTTGGTTGATGATTACAGAGGATTATACTACGCAATATATTGGGGATTATGATACTCCAATATATAGGGGAATCCCGTTCTTAACCAACCAGTATTTCATGGAACAACAGAGGGGTTTAACTTTCAACGAATGAATCATGGAGTTGTTGGTGTTTTCTGAAGACTAGTAGACATGGCGAACACAAAAAACCAAAAATCAAGCAAGAAAGTTTGGGGATGTAATGGAATATACTTGGGTATACTGGAAATTAATGGAAGATTCAATATTATATATAAATAAAAAATAGATAGATAAATAAATGAATAAATCAATATATATATATCTAATATAATACATATGTGGCTTTGTCCAAAAATAGGGTATATCCCCAATTTGCAGTGCTAGTGAGAAAATAACAATGAAACAAGAACTTGTGGGGTGCTCGATTTTTACACTAACCTATATTTTGACCCATGTACCCATTGGTACAAAGGTTGCGCGGTGTTGCGTGGTGTAGTAAACAAACCCGGCAATTTTGACGCTCCTCCTGTTGTGAGCTGCTAAATCATCCGCACGATTTCGAGGGCGGAGTTTGCAGCACTCAGTGTTCTTTGTTTACTGGATCTATATGTACAGAAAATCCATGATAGATATTTATATATATTGTCTACATCTATAGATATCTGATGATATCTGTTTTTATATAATTACCTATATAATCCTATATATATATATAATATATATATATCTATTTGTCTGTCTATTTGTCTGTCTATATGTTGCACTTCGACCACATCTTCACGGAGTCTTCCAGGCGGAGCATTGGGTACTGCAGCTGCACGGGAAGGGGAGACTTGAGGCCAAGAAGGTGCTGGTGGGTGGGTGATCGGTTGGTGGGTGAAATCTTCTATGATCCGACAGCTGATCTAGCCAACTATATCTGGGTTGTATGGATATTCCTAGACCTACTAAGATGCTAGCCTGTACAATAGGCAATCTCCAAGATGCGCACTGCTGAGAACCGCATTTGTCCCGCCCTGTTCTCGCCAAGTCTACACTGGACATTAGGACATTTCATCTTGCAAAAAACAAGATCATGAGTACTGGGAATATCCCCCAACTATATCTGGGTTAGATGGATTGTGAGGTGTAGACGTACTTAGATGTTGTCAGAATTAGACATTCGTGGTTAGTAGGTGGATTACAACCCCTTATTGGGATACACCCGCAGTAACCACTGAGAGAATTCGAGCAACAGCTAAGTTGGGAACATCAGTTGGTTTGAAAGTGATAGTACCCTCTGGTGAACTAACATAGCAATGGAAAATGGCCATAGAAATAGTGGATTTTCCCATTAAGAATGGTGATTTTGGTGGATCTTTCCATTGCTATGTAAACGTTCACCAGAGGGTAAGCAATGCTGTCACTTCGTTTTCAAGATGTCACTTATCTCGCCATTGAATTTTTTGGTGGCTGTTTTCAGGCAGACTAACACAGATGCGGGACATCCACAATTTGTCGAAGACTTTCTACATGTGAAGTCATGAATTTTCATTTTTTTTCCAATAGTTTGATTCAAGATGAAATGCCTATTTTTATGGCTTGAAATCCATCTATTTTACTGGTTGCAGTTTAAATCACCCATTTTTCCTATTCTTTTGGCATGTTGATGTAGGATTAAACCTCCCATCTTTTGACTTAGACAGATCACCCCATCCTAAAGATCTCCAGCTAGTGTAGGTGCTGCTGGCGGCCGGATGGAACACTTCCTGGCTCAGCAAAGAGACCGAGAGATTGGACATCAAACATCAGATGTCACAGGTGCGTATGGAGTTGGGGACTTGATGGATTTTGATGCGTTTTTTTCCATGGATGAATGGCTTTTGGGTTGGGATTTTCATGGATTCACCCAGGGAAAAACTTGACGAGCCACAAAAAATTGTGGCTCCCACAAGGACAATGATTTTCTCAACCACGGGATAGAATGGCCTTCCAATCCAAGACCACAAACTAGAGGGACATGGGGATGTCATGCCGCAAAATTGATTTGGATCACTTTGACCATGAAATCATCCACTTTTTGGGGTCATAAAATGCTTCGGATGCAACAACGAGAACAGAGCCATCACGGAGACGACATCCCTTCACCTCGGGATGTTCGGGCAGAGTTCTGTGCTTGGGAATGTTTGCCCCTGATGTTTCGTACGGGAAAATGAGAGTCATTGGAGATGTTGGGGACTTTTCATGAGAAAAAATACGGTAATCCTTGCGACTGTGGTCTATTGGTGATTTAGTTTTTGGGTAGTGTTTTTGCACTGTGTTCACCATCAAATATGGGGAGTATGTAGGGATTTCAGGGTAAGCCATGTTGAGTTTGGCCCAAAACTGGTGGTCATTTTGATGGGGAAAGTGATGCTCTAGACATTAAACCATCCGTTCTCCAGAAATGGACCCAGAAAAGCACCAACGTAAACTATTTTTGGGTAGGAACTCAATTGGCCCATGGTTTGGCGGGCGTGACATTTTGAGCCACAGCTATTGTTGACAGTTTGGTGATGCAACATCTAGAGTAAGTGAAGGTTAGGACTAAGGACCATGGAGACATCTTTGCCTTCTCATTGCGTGGTCGAAGTACCCAGTTTCTTTATTCCTCAAAACAAGATGGTGGGGGACATCTGGGTGGACAACTTGGGCATCGCATCGTTGGGAGGCCGTGCTGTTGGAAGTCTCTGAGCCCATGCCGACGATGCCGGTGATTATTTTGAGAGGGCCCAGGTGGAGCTGTGGATCGGGGATCATTGCTGACTTCTGTTGGGGAACACTGGCCAACTATCTGGGGTTGGACATTTCTTGTTTTGAATGGGGGGCAAGATTCGGGCATGTTTGAGCTGACGGAATTTTTACCGTCCAGCAAAACGCATAGATTTTGATGGGGTGGGGTGGGGTGGGGTGGGATGTTAACGTTCATTTGCACTTCCACACATACGTGATGCTACGCCACTGCTTGTTCTTCTGCAACTTCCACACAGACGTGATGCTACGCCACTGCTTGTTCTTCTGCAACTTCCACACATACGTGATGCTACGCCACTGCCCGTTCTTCTGCAACTTCCACACAGACGTGATGCTACGCCACTGCCTGTTCTTCTGCAACTTCCACACATATGTGATGCTACATTGGGGTGGGGTGGGGTGGGATGTTAACGTTCATTGGCAGTTCCACAAGTACGTGATGCTACGCCACTGCCCGTTCTTCTGCAACTTCCACACAGACGTGATGCTACGCCACTGCCTGTTCTTCTGCAACTTCCACACATACGTGATGCTACGTTGGGGTGGGGTGGGGTGGGGTGGGATGTTAACGTTCATTGGCACTTCCACAAGTACGTGATGCTACGCCTCTGCCCGTTCTTCTGCAACTTCCACACAGACGTGATGCTACGCCACTGCTTGTTCTTCTGCAACTTCCAAACAGACGTGATGCTACGCCACTGCCTGTTCTTCTGCAACTTCCACACATACGTGATGCTACGTTGGGGTGGGGTGGGGTGAGGTGGGGTGGGATGTTAACGTTCATTGGCACTTCCACAAGTACGTGATGCTACGCCTCTGCCCGTTCTTCTGCAACTTCCACACAGACGTGATGCTACGCCACTGCTTGTTCTTCTGCAACTTCCAAACAGACGTGATGCTACGCCACTGCTTGTTCTTCTGCAACTTCCACACATACGGCGTACATCAAGCAACTGTCTTGATTCGACTTCGGGCCTCTTGAAGAAAAAAAACGCTGAGAGGCTTGTCGATGGAAAAGTTAAACCCTCAAGTTCGGAGACCCCTTTTTTTGCATCAAAATTGACGTTTCGCTATGGCGAAACCATGAATTTGTGCTAATTATGCGGACGGTAAAAATTCCGCCGGGATGTTTGAGAGTGCGGTGTAGACCGAAAGTGCAATTCTAAGAGGGAACCTGATGAAAGGTTCCGGTGCAACTCCCAGGTCAGGTTCCGGAAGGTTCCAGTGTAGGTGCCAGGTCACTTTCCGGGAGGTTCTGGTGTCGAAACTCACAATTTCAGATAAACACTCTGGCTCTAGGAATTTTGCATACAGCTCTTCAATCACTGACATCAACGAATGTAGCAGGCGTTTGAAATCAAACTTTGAATTGGCCTTTCATTTTAGCATCCAGTTTTCACCGAGCGTGGTGTTACAGCCCCAACCCATCCCAAACCCGTGGCAGGGATCCGGAGGAGTATTGGTACGTCTTGCCACCAATCAAATACCCTGACGGTCGCACCTATTTGAAGATGGGATATGAAGGCAAAGCACTGAACAAGGCCGCTTTGTCATTAGAGGGATGTGCGGGTGGATTTTGTTGGGATGATGGGGGATGCGGACCTCCAAGCTACAGCCATTCTAATGGAGAAAACATGGGTGAACATGATGGTAAACTGCTGGATTTATTTTGTAGCCAATTTTCAGTCAAAACCATGTATGGCAAAATCTCAAACTTGGGTAAGCCCCAAAAATTTGGATGGTTGAAGACTGAAAGTATCCAGCTTATTTGTGCCTTTCCTGGGTATTGAAATGTATTGAATTTTGACCCACGGCCACATATATTTCGTTCTCTTCCTTTTCTGTGAGTCAGAAATCTTACTTTGCTCGATGAAAACGCCCTTCATTGCCGGCGAAACCCAATTTTCCTTGATCAAATCCATAGTGTCAGACTCCAAGCAAATGCAATTTATGGATCAAAATCCATCAAGTATATCCGATCAATATCCCCATTGGATCCCCAATGTTGGTTGGTTCTATTCACCATTGGCAGCTCCCAGGTCTTGTCATCGCAGGAGGAATCTCAGCGCTGGATGCAGAGCGGCCGAGCGGTGCCCGAGCTGTTTTCGGCGGCGGAGAGGATGGCCAAGCAGTTTTTTCCAGGTGGGGATGGCATGATTTATGGGACTATCCTGGCATTTTTGTATGGGATGATTACCCTCTGGTAAACTAACATAACTATGGAAAATCGCCATTTTTAATGGGAAAACTCACTATAAATGGCCATTTTCAATAGCTACGTTAAATTACCAGAGGGTAGGGGAAAAAAAACAGGTGGGATTGCGATGATGGACTTACGGCGTTGTTCATGAAGAGATGGAACTAGGAAATATTTCTGCAGGAAACTCAGGAGAAGGGTCCCAAACCATAGGGCAGTTAGGGTTTTTCTTGGTTGTAGCCAGGCTAAGAGATGGATGGGTCTGTCCTGACATGGGGAAGGCTGTGGGGGATTTTACCGACAAAGTTGTGGGGGTAGAAAGTATAAACCAATGTTTTTTGAGGATATATATATATATAATTATATATATATATATTTACACCTGCATATCTACAGAAACATTTTCTTTGTATATTTGGTGAACATGATGAGTATAGCCATTATTAGATGGGGTCATCCGGAACATATCACTGGGATATCAAGATTGTTATTAAACATATCTTAATAAACATCATGAGGACCCAATTACATATGAGACGGTATCGCTGCTTGGGTACCCCCTCGAAAGCATTGGGAAACAGAGGTGATTCCTCATTTTCCTTGCCACCAAATCTATGGGGACATGGATTTGTCTCAAAAATGGGGGGTATGGGCAAAAAATTGATGGAATTCATCGTATTTTCAATGCGAAAATGCAAACCTATATGGAGATGGTGTGAAAAGCAGGGTACCAGACATTTGACCCATACCCATTCTCCATGGGCTGATCTATCTACCATGGTTTCAGGGGTTTTATCAGCGAAATCGACAGTCTTGAGTGCGTGCCAAAGAGGTTTACAGTAGCAGTTTTTAGTAGAAGACATGGCGATCCAAACCAACAAACATGGGTACTGAACCAAGAAACAATAGATTAATAGGGAGAATCCACCGCTAAACATGGGGCCAGAAGATATGATAAGCCAACATGTTGGGGATTTGTTGATTGATGTTTGCGCTTTCCTGTTGTCACGTGGTACCAGCTTTGAAATGTACCATTTGTAAATGATCTGAATGCAGATACCAAAATTGGATCTTCAGTAGCAACAAATGAGACGAATCTGCGGTCCGTTGGGCCTTACCCTCTGGTAAACTAACATAACTATGGAAAATCACCATGTTTAATGGGAAAATCCACTATAAATGGCAATTTTCAATAGCTATGTTAAATTACCAGAGGGTACATGGCTTGACCACCCAGATGACCCTGGGCAACAGCCATTTCCAGGCGCGGCCTTTACTGGCCAGCGCCGCAGCATCGTGTGCATCACGGATGCTACGCAGCCCACAGCGCAAGGAGAACAGCGGCCGTACATCGATTTTTTGCAGAAGGGCTTGGCTGTCGCCAGTGGAGGCGCCTGGCGTTTAGAAGTGGGAACTCACAGTGGTTCTTAAACACTGATCATCATATCACCATTTTGTTTGGTTGATCCTCCTTTTTTTTTGAAGATGCTCTCTCTCTCTCTATATCTATTTATAGCCATCCTGGAGTGGATCGAATCTGGTTAACAAAATCCTCAATTCGAACATGCTCGAAAAGTCCATATAGATCCATATAGATCCATATAGTCCAAAATTCTACTTCAGGATGACGTGACTACACAACTGTGCATAGATATGATTAACGATATAGCCATATCCACGTCGTCCAGGCAACGGCTGGGCTGCCAAGAGCTCAGACCACATCGGCTGGTTGGCTGCGGAGATGATGTCCAACGCTTCGGGATGGGCCAGCGATGAGGAGTCCAAACGGTTGTCTCCCGGTGGGTTGAACTTCTGGATTGGGCACTTGGAGTCTTGATAAATATCATACCCTCTGGTAAACTAACATAACTATGGAAAATCACCATTTTCAATGGGAAAATCCACTATAAATGGTCATTTTCAATAGCTATGTTAGTTTACCAGAGGGTATATAATATATCACATATAATATATAATATATAATATATCATATGTCATATATTATATATTACACCAACTATATTTTCTATTTTTGTTTCTAAGGTGTTGGTGGGAACAAAAAAAGCTAGGCAAACGAGGCGAAGGATTGGACGGTGGATATGTCGAACTAGTATGAACTATACACATATACACACATATAATATAATATATTTATAATTATACATGGTTTTATTACACACACATATATATATATATGTATGGGGTAAAATCAAGCAACTTATACAGCCCAGAATTGATTGATCGCTTTTGGTGCCTCGAATCCCGTTTTTTGGGGCAATAAGACCCATACCCAAAGAATGAGTTGGGACTGAGATGGTTGGCTTAGTTGAGACACGAATCGAGGTTTCCAACATTTCCAGCGTTGGATACTGGGATAATTTACAGAAAACCTCCGCATTTGTAGGTACCCTCTGGTAAACTAACGTAACTATGGAAAATCACAATTTTTAATGGGTAAATCCACTATAAAAGGCGATTTTCCAGTTTGCTTTTTGTATGTTTACCAGGCCGGGTTAAAAACTGATCGTTTTCCTGTGGATTTTCCGATCCATTGACCGAGGTTCCCAAAAGAGCTCTTCCAAGCTTGCTACAAGTCTCGTTTGTGAGCCACTCGGTCGCCGTGGAATCTCCGGGAGTGTGGGATCCACAGCTGCAACCTTTCCAGCAGAATCAACCCCATCTTGGTTGGCGAACTTTTCGTTTTTGTCGAAGATGTTGGTTTAACTAGTTTAACTCGTCTTTTTCTGAATCGTTACTGTTAGATCCTTAATTTTGGCTGTGAAGCCCAACTCTCTTGGTCTTCCCTTTGGCTTACCCTCTGGTAATTTGTTACATAGCTATTGAACATGGCTTTTTATAATGGATTTTCCCATGAAAAATGGTGGATCTTTCCAGTTCGTTATGTGGCTGTTTACCAGGCCGGGTATCTCTAAGGACGAAGTTTTTCCGCAGGCGGCCATGGCGCATGGCGCGCCGTGGTGCGTGCAGTGAGTCATGCCGACCGCTGGGACCGCTGGGACCCGCAGGACTGAAGAAATCTGTGTTTTAGGCAGTCAGGAATTGGTTAATTGCCATATATATATATATATACATTATATTATATTATATTATATATAATATATGTATATATAATATATAAATATATATATATATAGAATATTTCCATGATATTTTTTGGGGTGTGTGAAAACTGTGACCGTCTCCGAGTTTCATTCTAATTCCCTTTTGGCTGTGAGTTGAAGTTGGTCCCGGCAGGCACTTGGTTTTCGTTTCGTTGAACCCTGGGATGTTTTGTGGTCCCAGATTCGAGTCCGGGATGCGACGTCCGGGACTTGTTGTGCCGCTGAGATCGATGAGGGTCACCAGGATCAAGATCAGGGTGAAAAGAATGACGTGGGCATGGGTGAGGTAGCTGGTTGGTGCTCTCAGATATCAAACAAATTGAAAAACACATGAAAAAAACATGAACAAACAAACAAATAAATAGATGCATATTAAATAGATACATGAACAAGCAAGCTCACAAATGAATAAACATATACACGTGTACATGTATATATATATATGTATATACAATATACGTGTATATTGTTTATTTTTCTTTCAGTGAATACCTGAGGGAATTAATGATCCTCAATTGACTAGCATGTCCTAAGATTTGCTGGAAGCCGAAAAAACTGAGATTACAGTGGCCATGGCCGCACTGGGGATCCACTCCGGTGAACTTTTTGATACCAACCAGGTCCCAACTGACCAGGCCCTGTATGGAAATTTACAGCTGCGAGCGGAACTTCTGCACGAGGTCTTGCAAGGAGAGAGGCGGGACTCTGATGAGGTACGTGTCTGAAACTGGATCAAACATGGGGATGAAACACTCATGAGTAGGGGTATATATATATATATCTCTCTCTATACACATACACACATCTGTATACATATATATATATATATATATGGGAATTAATGGGAGATATAGACGACTATTATAATCCACAATATGAGACTTAGGTTCGTCTCAAGAATGGAGGATCTATCCCCAAATTGTGGCATGTTTTTTTTGTGTGTGCATGGGGGAAATTGATGATTGATAGATTTTCTATGTAGCCCCCTTTTTTTTTGAGGTAAACACAGTTGGGGTAGTATTCCTTGCTGAAGTCACAATGGTTTAGCAAAGTTTCTCCAAGCTATTGTGGGGAAATGATTGCACAAAGTCGGGGAATGACTCTACTTGGTTTGGATGAAAATCACCAATTCTCTGGTAGAATGAATCGTTTGGGGGAAAGATCGTTTCCCACTCTGTTTACTGACAAACTGGCAAATGATTGGTTTACCACTGTTTACCCAATTCCCAATTGAAGAACCAAACTCGATCTTCCAACCCCCCAAAACCACTAGTCAGTCATCATTTTCGCCACATTGCCATTTTCTTTGGGGATCAAAAATCCAAATTTTCGAGACAGACCAAGGCATCTCACATACATTTTTTTCTTCGAACATAATCAATTCTTCATCTCATACTCATACATATATATAGATAGATTGATAGATAATATATCCCATTTATTTCCCCAAAACTCCACCTCCTACGCACCCGGACGTCTCGGGGGCTGTGTTTCCAGCCAGGCCCATTCAGCCGGAGGAGCTCCAAGGTCCCTGGATTGACGTCACGTGTCTTGGCGGAGAACAACGGTGAACCTTGGGCATTTACCCTCTGGTAAACGTTTACAAAAAGCTATGGAAAATCACCATTTTTAATGGGGAAATCCATTATAAATAGCCATTTTCAATAGCAAACTGTTAAATTACCAGAGGGTACGAATGGAGGAGAATTGCCATGGAACTTTCTGAAATTTGAGATGTGCACCAGCCGAAATTGGGGAAATTTGCACATTGAAGCCACTGGCAACTTGGGATTATTTGGGATTGAATCATCAATAACGGGGGTTCAGCCATCTAACGTGGGGTTCAGCCATCAAACATGGTGATTCAATCATCATTCATCAGCAAACATGGTGGTTTAGCAATCAAACAAATCGTGGTTTAAACCTATTTCTCTAGTTCCAAGTTTTTCAGGAGGGTTGAGAGATTGAAACCACTATCCAGTGAAAACTAGGGGGATTTACCAATGCAAGTCGAAAATTAATACCATCAACATTGGAATTTCACCAGCCAAAATTGGGAGATTGGGAGGATTTACCCTGCAGTAAATCAACAACACAATTGCAGGAAGCTCATGATTGTTTTCCAGGGAACATGATCTACAATGTCTACAAATGGTCAGTTTTCCATAGCCATCTTAATTTACACTCAGTAACAGTAACATTTTGGATTTATCCTTTGGATTTATCCTGAGGAAAAGGTCTTTAAGGCAACATATCTTGGGGTTTTCGCTAGGCCATGACACATTTTTTGCTCAAGAACACTGGGGATTTCATGAAGAACGTTGATGAAACTGAGGAGCAATTGGGATTTATCCACGAAAAAAATGATGTCATTATCATGATATACCCTCTGGTTATGTCAAAATAGCTATTGAAAATGGCTATTTATAGTGGATTTACCCATTAAAAATGGTGATTTTCCATAGTTATGTGAGTTTACCAGAGGGTATCAACAACAAATAGTGCATTTAGCCAACACAAATTGCGGATTCAAGCATTCAGACCGAATTGATCCGGATTCTGAGTATGACGCATGTGCATTTCACCCAGACTCAACTGGAGTTTATTCATGAACAATGGGGAAATCAAAGTATAACAGCTCTTCGGTCGTTGATTTGGCCAACGAAAATAGTGGGCTTTAGCAACAAAGCTCCAGATTCGACTGACAAGAATGCCTGAACATGATGAATGATGCTTTCATCCAGGATAATGAAAACCATGAAGAAGGATGATGTTTTGTGCGGGAAAATGATGCTGAATGAACATCATGATAGTCAGATGAGGATCGCGTTAGTCGGATGGGTCACACCCCTGAGTCAATGATGTATCGTAGACCCCAACCAGCTCTATTTGTTGGTTTACGACCCTATCTAATCCATTTAGCTACATAGATATTAAATGCAACAGGTAGCCTAGATGTGAACCAACGAAATTACCAGCGTTTTGGGTCCCTGTCCTGTTGCTACATAATTTAAGAAAACACATATTGTTGACATTTGTTGATGATATAGATATGCAATTAATTCCTATTAAATCACATGGCGCAAATCAAGCTTTTTGATGAGATAAATCTATTCATGTCTTGAATCACTATTTCCATGGCTGAAATCCGCAGATTCATGCTGAAACCTCAATTTTCGTAGGCTAAATCCCTATTTTCATGGTTCAAATCTATAGTTTCAAGGGTTAAGTTCTGATTTTGTGATCGCTTAAATCTGTATATATATATACATATATATATAATATTATTCTCATGGCTTGAATATTTTCGTGGCTGAAATCACCATTTTCAGGGCTTCAATCATTTTCATGTTTTCAATCACAATTTTTATGGCTTAAATGCATATTTTCACGGTTCCAATCCTTATTTCACTTCCGACATCCTGGGATTTGAGGTCAGCAGTGCAGTGCCTGGTGGAGCAGTCCGCCATCAGAGTGCATGGCAGCGCAACCTACTCCAAGGCGGCAACACGTTGCTGGTGGTTCGCTGGGATGTTGTTTAAGGAATTTCATATGGGATATTGAATGGCACATATGGGATACTGATGGAATGTTTATCGGTTTAGCCAGTTTAGCCATATTAATGGTAATTAATGGGATATTAGGATATCTTATGGTTTCGATAAACATGTATAGCAAGATATGAATGACACATGTGGAACATTGATGGGATATTTAAGTCAGTGCCATATGAATGAGAATTAATGGGATATTAATGTGATATATACTCAATAAACCCCTATTGGGGATGGTAATTCAACATTTCTTCCCTGGAAATGGGATCACACCCCAAAATGGCTGTGGTAAACCGCCATAGTCACCCTCCTGACACCTTTTGGTGCTGCAGAAATTTGGGGATTTCAGCCATGAAAAGATGGGATTTCATGGGATTTACTGGCAGTTTAATACAGCCCAATTTCTGGCGAAATATGTTTTCTTTTCCATCAACATGTGGATATAAGCATATACGGTATTTAGGCAATGAAGAATGGATTAGGCGTGCCTGAAAACGAAGGATGCACCGTCTATCAAATAATAAAGACTATGATGATTAACCATGGGGTTTACAGTTATTGAGTTTTCAGACAAACCCAAATGGTGGACACTCATGAAGAATGGGTATATAAACGACATTAAGCAACAGCATATGAGTTTTGTTTCTTTACACGGGGACATACTGGGATTTATTCCATGGGATATATCAACACTATGTTTTTTTTTTGAAATATTTAGATCGATTTATAACAAGCAAGAGCGGGGGATTTGAGCATAAGAAATGAGGGATTTAACGATATTGATGGATGTAAGCAAATATTGGGGAGTTCAAACAGCAGAAATGGATAGAACTGATGCTTTTCTACCAACACTATTCATGTGAGATTTTACATGCCAGCAGTGTTATCCCCCCTACACAAAGCCAGAAATTCAGGCTGGGATTCAGGTACTTCACGCCACAGAAATGGGAATATCTTTGAGGCAAACACGGGCAGGAAAAATATTGACCTTTCATTATGGGGCTGAAAGCTATCCACTCCTCCAGGATGTTCTGATACTTCCCATGAGATGTTTGTGGGTCCATGGGGACCTCGGGTTTGACCAGTGGGATTCGGAGTGATTGGTGTCAGGCAGATCTTCCGGGTTTCTACAACCCAACGCCCTTGCGGCTTGCTGGCACTCTGGGACCGGCTGCTGTTTGATCCTTTTTTTTTCATCTAGGAGTGACTGGAAAAGAGACACCAGGTCATGTACCCTCTGGTAATGACTAACATAGCTATTGAAAATTGCCCATTTATAGATGGTTTACCTATTAAAAATGGTAATTTTCCATAGTTATGTAAACATTTACCAGAGGGTACATGTAGTTGGGTCAAGACTTTCAAGGCGTCAGGAAGGAGGCATTTTAAGTTACAAACATCTATAAAAACTACCCTCAATGGACTCAATGATGTCATCTTTGTGATGTCATCTACCCACAGCTCCAATGAAAAGACCGATGGCCTAGTAGCATGGTTACACTTTTGTCCATCACTTGAAGCTTCGACATCGCTTTGAATGTTGGGTGAACAGATGAAACAACTCTTTGAACTCATTGAAACCTGATTCTCTTTGGGTATATATATATTATATATACACAGATTCATTACAGTAGTTGATTAATCATTGGGAATTGGAGGCTTACCTTCACACAACCCACAGTCAACTGGTCTTACATTGGCCTTCAGCGTCGTCACCGCAGCCCTCTTTTGGACCTTGCAGCTCGTAGATCCTTAGACGTGCGGCTCCACTTGATCTGATTTCACGGTGTAGGTAGTCATCTTACTGTCAGCTTCTGATATATATATACACGTAATTATGTATATATATATATATTATACATGTATTTGTATATGTATTGCCTTTAGGGTGGCAGGCGCAGAGCAGACGTTACCAGAAGCAAGGAACGCTCACTCATGAATGGCTGCTCGATGGTAACTTGTATGTTGTATTCGCGTCACAGATGTTTTGAGACGTGTTCAGCAAAATGTAAGTATAGTCGCACTGCACCTTGTCGTTGCTGTTCTTAGACCAATGCTTTTCACCACACGGAATGTGCTGCACAAAGAGGGTCCTGGAGCGCTTGTTCGTGGCAATTGTGAATTACGTGGACTTTATCACCGATGCTTCTCAGATGTGTCTGAAAAGTCGTCCCCATGTTATGGCAATTTAACTTGATGATGAACCAGTGGAATTGGGTAATCTACTTTGGGAGACCGCTAAAAAAATCCTGCCGGGTTTTAGAGTGCAGCAGTTCAGTGTCTCTTTGTGTCACTGTGTTACTTTGCAGTACATGACAGTATACTTAAAGAACATATGGGTATGGGTCAATACCTATAGATACATTACTATAGTGGGATGAACATCCATAAATCCCAGCTATTTTGGGGTTCACTAGGTACCAGGGTTTTGACCCATCCCCATATCTTGGGTCGCACTGTCTCACCTCGTTTTACTTAAGAGTCCCATCAACTGCATTCCTCTTGGAAATGCACGAGTGGACATCCCCATCAAAAGTGGAGGTTTTAGTTGCTGGGAACATCAGCTATAAATGGAGGCTTTTCTAGCCATGGAGCTGATGACCAGAGGGCAGGTTCCTTTTCGGCCACTAGGAGTCTTTTGCAACCTACTGCAAATCTGGGTGTCTTTGCTGAGGTTTTGGTCATGCTGGAGTACGGATGTTTCCTCAACAACAATCTGACAACCAGCTGTGATGGCGTGGAGGGCTGCGAAGCACATTGGTGGTGGTTCGGCTTGGCTCTCAGTATTTTAATCATCTCCAGCTTGGTCCAATCCTTTTATTATAGTGGCGACTGTGGCAGTTGCGGCCTGTGCTGTTTGTCCTTGCTGCAACTCAGCTACCTTCGCGATCTCTGCGTCGCCCTTGGTGGCGAAGAAGATACGGAAGAGAACCGCCGGGTGATGATACGGGACGTGATCGTGAAGATGTTGGAAAGTGCCCCACAGCTCTATCTCCAAAGCTACATCTTGTTTGTGATTGGTGAGCATCGCAATCATTTGAAGCTCATCTCCATCATGTTTTCGGCTCTATCGTTGGCTGTTGGGGTCAGCAAATTTGTGATGTGGCAATTTGAGGATACCCGGCTTCTGCCCAAAGTGGCTTGGATTGTCAATCCATTAGGAACATGGGGAAATCTTCTGGCAATCCACATTTCTTTGGGGGCAAAAAGTAAGTTCATCCACCCCAAATTGGACAAATCCACCAAGACTATTCGTACTCAATTTGGTTCCCACCTTGAAAATCAGCTTGTTTTAAGGAGGTGCCAACAAAAAACATATCACTGACATAGGTCAGCCCAGATCCCCTCTAGGTGGCTTTGGCCCTCTTCTTAACCAGCGATCAACTGATGCGCGCCGCGGCCTATGCCTTGGTTCTGTCAGAGGCCGCCCGCTTCCTGGGGCTGCCGCTGGTGCTGCTCTTCGGGCTGCTGGCCTGGATGTTGCGCTTCCGTGCGGACGGCGCGGAAGGAGGCTGCCAGCTAGCGAATCTGGGGGCTCCCATGCTGACAGGTGGGCAACTGGTGGTAGGGCAGTACGTACTCATCTTCTGCGATGAGGATATAGTAAGCTAACCAGATATTTTTGTGTGTTTTTTTTTTGGCAGGGTATCTAAGATTGGCTGTGATGTGGGTTGGGGCAAGAATTTTTCGAAATTCTGTTCGATACCTGTTGTGACCACTGGTAGAGGCGTGATTTTCGCATTGACATTACAGAATGGGGGATGATCCTTTTCTAACTGGTTGGTTGCTCAAGAAGAGGTTCCTCCATTCAACAATCAATAGGTATATAATCATCAGATATTTCATAAATAATTTGCCAAAGCGGCCGCTGTAATTTGTCCTTTAAAAGGGCTTTAAGTAGTGGAATGAAGTGATGCAGATCATCCTCAGGTGTGGTGGCTGGACATCTGGTGCCCATTCTGACTCTGCAGGCCAGGATGAGACCGAAGGCAGTTTTGAGCAACTGGATGGATTAGAGCTATACATTTTCAAATATATATATATATAATAGAATTCTATATGTTCATAAGTATTTCATATATTTTTGATTATATA